TTGAATAACATGCGCAAGGCAAGGCACTTGGACAATCGTAGAATCCGTCTCCATATGTAGCTTCTTGATTGAATCATTCACTGCTGCGATAAGTGTCTTATTGTTAGACGCATTATCAGTTGTCACCGCCAGCACTCGGTCAGCGATTTGGTGCTTTTGTAGGATCTGGATAACTACGTCCCCGAGGTTCACGCCAGTATGAGATCCAGAAATTGGCTCAAACCCAAGTAGGACCTCACGATACTCCCATTCCTGGTCTAGAAAGTATCCTGTGATAGCCATAAATGCGTGCTTGAATGGTGAAGTCCAGCAGTCAAGCGCAATCGACATTTTTGCACCAGATGGCAGCTGTTGTAGTGTCTCTTGTTGATACTCTGTAACGAAACCCCGGAGGCGGTCGCGAATCACCTTTCTTGATGGAACGCTCGGTAGTGTAGGTGCTAGCCGTGCGTAGGAAATGAGATCATGGAATTCTTGGTGCTCGACGAAGAGAAAGGGTAAATGTGATACAGTGATTAGGTTTAGAATCTTCTGTTCCCATGTTTGTTGGGTAAAGAGAGGCGCTGGTCTTCTCTCGGCCTAAAATATAGTGAATTTATTATTAGTATTGATATTGAGTATAGGCTATTTCGAACATACCGCGTCGCTAAGTAGTTGCTGGATATTACCCTTCTTCGTAATTCGCTGTCGACACCTTGGCCCATCAAGATGCTTCTGCATCGATGAGTTTCCAGTATGATTTGTAGCTGGATGCGTAAGAACTGTACGGCACCGATTGCACATAACGCCAGGCTTTCCATCTTTAGTATGTGCAACTTGTTGAAACCCAGTCCAGCAGTCTGCGCGACGGCTGACCTCCCAGTTTAGCCGCTTCTTCTTACCAAAATCAGTTTGAAGCCACCACTTAACGAATTCCGCGGACATGTCGGTAGTAAAGACGATATACTCGTTAATACTATCTGGCTTGATTCGCGTAAGGGTGTCTAGGGCCCGAGGTCCTGCACGAGATCGGACTTGGTTGTCTAGAAGGTCTGGAAGGTCCAGAACTGAATCAAACTGGCTTTCGCGTTGGTATAGCGTATCGTCAGGGGTAAGGTACTGTAGCGCGTCTAGCGGTAACCCTTCGAAGCTAGATGATGCGTAGCCGTAGCCGTCGGTAATCTGAGACATGATAACTTTAGTAAACCAGTACAACTTAGGGAAGATAATAAGGAACTCACTAGTTATTCTGTAGAAGTTACGGGGTCTTCTTGGGGCATCTGTTTATCCCTGTTCCATAATGCTTAAATTGATATATCAACTTTTATAAAGCCCTATCTATATCTGATTCGCTAGTATAGTGGATCACTATAGAAACGAACCTCAATAAACCTCAACGAACCTCAATAAACCTCAACGAACCTCAATAAACCTCAATAAACCTCAACGAACCTCAACGAACCTCAATGAACCTCAACGAACCTCAACGAGAACCTCAATGTAGGAAAAATAGAATGTCTAAGTCTAACAATTGGGACATTTAATCCGGATTCACGGTATATCTAGACCAATTAACATGAATTCTAAAAGACAAAGTAATAGAAGAAGATATAATGGTTTGAATGATATTAAAATGAGGGGAATTAAACTGCATCTTTATAGTTTTCTTAAAGAACTGTAGTTCTACTAATAAAGATACACATACTTTACAGTGTCTGCGATATATATATCTACAACTTTACATGCTATTTTATCGATGACCTCTATTGACCACCCACCACGTCGATATCATCGGATATTACCTATAATTTATAGGTGACCACGCCTCCTATTTACTTTTCAATGACTATATCTTTATAATTCATTATATTGATAGAGTATTCAGTGGAAAGTCTATAGTTTAACGGAACAGCTGTAAAAAACAGAGATGAATCATCAATTTTATCCAGCCAAAAGAGGAAAGGCGTCAAGAAATTATGTATATGCAGGTTCATGCGGGTCGATGGAGGTTGAACCTCAAAGAACCTCTGGAGGTTAATGGGCGGTTGGAGGTTAGTAAGGTTGGAACCTCACCTCAAGAGGTGAGGTTCGAGGTTCCGGGGTAGGGACCCATGCGGAGGTTCAAAGCCAGGTCTAGAAAGGCTAGGTAATCTAAAGAAGGTACTCGATCTATCGCTATTTATCGTTATCTAACGTAAGGTCCGATCGCTTATACTTATCACAAAATAGCGTAAAATAAGGGCGAAGCCGCTTTATACGCCGGAGTATAAGAAAAGTAGAGTTCTATCGCGTTTTAATATCTTATATTAGCGCGAGTTTAGCTGATTTAGTCTAAAGGGCGTAAAATATATCCCGTCGCTAGGGGCTTATATTCATATATATAGCGAGGTTTCGAACCTAGTAAAATAGTTAGTAAGGTATAAGAAACGGTATTAATATTATAAAATTAGATATAACTAATCTTACTTAAAGTATTAATAATCTCTCGCTTATACTACCTTACGTTCGTTCGGGCGGACTGAGACCGCTATTCCGTCCACCGAGTCTCTATTAACTCATTCACTAGGCTCGCTTTTATATATCTAAGTAACTTATTAAGATATAGCTAGAGGATATAGGCAATATATAGAACTCTAACAATAGTAGTATCTTCTGGTATTACTTACTAGAGACTTTCGACTAATATTTTATTATTCGAAGTATTATCGGTTATAATCGTAAGTATCTTATATTTAATATTATACCTCTTAAGAATATCCGTAAGTATAATACTAAGGTTTATACTAGAGTAGGTTCTATAGAGAGGTTCGAATCTAAGAAGGATCTTACAGTACTACTAGTCCTCGTTAATAAAATAACCAGTAATTACTATAAAGGCCTATACAAACAGTAAGGTCTAGCAATTAAGTATAACGGATAGTTTTATACTAGGAGGTAGCCTCTGTAGGATACTCTGCTAGCGCTCTTATACAGTACTTTAAAGACAGCGTCTAATTGTTTTCGCGGAGGGGATTTTAGGTAAGGAATCCGTAGCTTATATAAGTACAACTAATATATAAAATTTAGGATACTTAATTAACCGGAATAGGAGGCGAGCGACTATAAGAAATCGTAGTAGCTAGTCCTCCTAGGCTATCTAGTTAAACGTTATCCGTGCTAAGGAATCCTAGTTCTAGAAGGTAGATATATTAGTAATAGTAAAGTACTAAATAAGAAAGGTATAAGTATACTATAGCCTTTATAAACCGAGTAATCCCCGACTTCTAAGTATAGTATCGAGCTACCTTAGTATAGCTAGTACCTTTAAGGTACTTTCCTATTATAGAGGTACCTTAGCGTACTGTTATCCCTAATAATAAGGATTAAGGGTACTCTAAGATTACTCTATATCGCTTATATATTACCTTAAGTACGCTATCGGAGCTATATACGACCTAATCGAATTTATCCTAGGATTTTGACTAATACTTCGAGTCCTATTTAATCTTAGTATTACTAGGACCCCTATATTATATTCTAATCCACTAATCTATAAATTCTTTATTAACCATTTCGTTATAAAGAATAAATACCTTTCTATAGTCCGGTCCTATACGTATAAGATCTTTAAGGACTAGGAGTAGAATTAGTAGGCGTAGAAACTTAGGGTCAAATAAATCGATTATAAGCTAGCTAGTAGAGGGTTCGGAAATAGTAGCGAGCTACTCGTTCTTAGACGTAAGGTAGGTAAGGTTAATATTACTATCATATAGAGATAATAAAAACGTGTTAAAATATTAGCTTTAAGATATAGTATTAGGAAAGGTAGAGCTAAAGATTTTAGTAGAAGGGCCTTACGTATATAAAGAATCTTAAAAACCCTAGCAATCTATCCTAGGATACTATATCGTACTTAAATACGGGTTGATATATCGTAGTACTAAACCTCTATATAATAATAATTGGCTTATCTGATTCAGCTTTAGTAGGTAGAGCCCGTAGAAACCTATATAAAACCGCAGAAACCCGCGTTAATACCTATAATAACCCGCAAACCCTATAGTATAACCCGAATAACCCGCGAAATAACCCGTAGAAACCCGTAGAAACCTATATAACCCGCGAAATAACCCGTATAAACCCGTATAAAAACCCGTAAGAACTAAGAAAATCACGAAAACTATAATACCCTATCAAAATATATATCTATAAAATATATATCTCTAACTCTACCTATAGTTTCTAGCTTATAGTACAATAACCCTAATAAAGACGTAATTTCTAACCGCGGTCAAAAATAGTAGTATTCTTAAGGGATCTTTCAATGTATAGATAGTTTCTGACCGCGGTCAGAGATAGCAGTAGTCTGAAGGGAGTTTTCAATGTATAGATAATTTCTGACCGCGGTCAGAGATAGCAGTAGTCTGAAGGGAGTTTTCAATATATAGATAATTTCTAACCGCGGTTAGAGATAGCAGTAGTCTGAAGGGAGTTTTCAATATATAGATAATTTCTGACCGCGGTCAGGAATAGTAGTAGTCGAAGGGTGCCTTAGACGTATAAACAAAACCGCCGTAGATTACTGTATTTTATTAGTATAAATCAGCATTTTTATACACTTCGCCATGGCTTAATTGGGAAAATTATGCAGCCGCGGGTTTTTGCGGGAACCCGTGCGGGTAACCCGCGCGGGTTGCGGGGCGGGTTGCGGGTTGGTCGAGTCTACCCATCGGGTTTGCGGGTTCGGGTTGCGGGTCGACTTCTCTTACCCATTCTCGGGTTTTGGCGCAGTCTAATTCAGCCTACATTGCCAAGACCGAGATGATCTTTCTTACTATGGCTCCCTTTTTTCTACTACGTAGTACTACGAGACCAATCAGTTCGTAATGAGTTCCACGTGTTGGATTTTCGGCCGAACATTTTCGGACTACGTCTTGCTAGGCTCCAATGCGAAATATAAACATCTTGGTTAGAAGTCACCCCTTCTTTCCCACAAGTGTTGCAACAACATCAACGGAACAATCACAGTATCTCATCCAATAATGGTGGCTCTCAAACATTTCTTACAACTAGGCTGCATGTTGGCTGTGGTGAGCGCCGACTGCACCAAGAAGCAACAGCCTGTGGTAGATCTTGGCTATGAAATATACCAAGCGACTGGAGCCAGCAATGTAGGATCCCACCTTCAAATTTGCATTTCTGTTGCAGAAGCTAACGACCAATAAAGAACTCGGACAGCTATTATAGCTTCTCCAATATCCGATATGCTGCTCCCCCGGTTGGCGATCTTCGATGGAAACATCCTATGCCTCCCCTGACCAACCGGTCGACCATTCAATCCAACTCGGAGTCAATCAGCTGCACTCAAGCAACACCCACCTGGCAATTGCGTACCTCACAGTACCTAAACGATTACCTGAAGACAGGTATTGTTCCCAATGTCTCCTACAGCGACATGTCCGCGATCTCCGCCGGTGGAGTGGAGGACTGCCTGTTTTTGGATGTCCAGGTGCCTCGCAAGATATTCGATAGTCCCAAAAAGGATAGAAAGCTCTCGCCTGTTTTGGTTTGGATCCATGGTAAGTACCCAAAATCCTACATTGCAGCAAAATACTAAGAAAAGAAGGCGGAGGTTTCACTACTGGGTCCAAGACCTCTTTTGGATCATCCAAAGGCTTAATTGAACGCAGCCAAGCTGGTGGCTCGGAAGGCGTGGTATACGTTGCTCTTAACTACCGACTGGGTGCGTTCGGCTTTCTATCTGGGTCCTCATTCGAAAAGCAAGACGGTGTACTCAATGCTGGGCTTTACGATCAACGACTTGCTTTGCAGTGGATCCAGGACAATATCTATCGGTTTGGAGGAGACAAGAACCAAGTGACCGTCTTTGGCGAATCTGCAAGTGGCGGTTCCATCATGCAACACATCGTCGCTCATGGGGGAGCAGGGCCATCCCTTTTCAACCGGGCCGTGCTGCAGTCTCCCGGTTTCTTCCCCTACAGGTCCTCCCATAGCCAAGAGAAGACCTTTAAGGACTTCCTCGCCTTGACAAACGTTACCTCGCTGGCTGAAGCCCGTCAGCTACCTTCGGATGTGCTGATGTCGGCCAATTCAATCTCAGTCGGTGTCTCGCAGCCGTACGCTTCGGCTGTCTACGGACCTACGCCAGATGGCGGCCTTGTTAGGGAAGACCCCAAGACGCTACTCCGCCGTGGAGAGTATGACCGGTCCGTGGATATTGTGGTCTCGCACAACACAGATGAGGGCCTAGTGCTTATTCCAGCGGTGCATACTAATGAGGAATACGAGAAGCTCGTAAAAAATCTCCTCAGCAGTGCCAAGAGATCTACCATCGATCATATCACTCAGACTCTCTATCCTCCCGTGTTCGACGGATCCAAGGGATACACCAACAACTACGAGAGAGCGGCCTTGACGGGGGTGATATCATCATCGGATGCAACGCGGTTGCATTGAGTTCTGCATTCAAAGATTCTTCCCGTGCCTACGTCTTCGATATGTCGCCAGGTATTCACGGACAGGACACCACATATACCTTTTACACTCCAAACCAGAAAGTTTCATCTTTCGGCCTGATTAACACTGGGGCCGTAAACCAGACTGTTGCATTTGTCATGCAGGACTACATCCTCTCCTTTGCCAAGCATGGCACCTTGAGCAGCTCCGTTGATGGTCTGGGTTCGATTCCAGCTTTCGGCTCGCAGGCAAAGGCCGTGCGTCTAACCAGCGACAATATCACAATCTCTCATGACCTGGCCAACCCACGATGCCAATGGTAATCGTTTGATCTATTTGGATAAATAGAGTAAGACAACCATGTTGGTTTGAAGATTGTTGGATTAGTTGGACATCATGTATATAGATATTGCCCTCTGTATATTTAAATTGTTCACTGCAAATTGTTTTCCACTTTGTTTTCACTTTCCTCTTCTTAAATCTCCTATTGTTTTCATGGATTCATTGACCTCCTCTCTAAACCTACACCCGAACTATTGCAAATATATATAATAGCGACAATCCACAACGATCCACACATGGATGAGGTCCACAGCAACCATCGATTTATTGTTAATATCCGTTAGGCAGAAACGAAAAGGTTGAGCACAACTTGATAACTGAGTTTAAGATATTCATTTGCTAGTAATTGAATACCCTTAGCCCTCCTTTGAAACCCTCAAATTTCAACATTTGGTAACATTAGATGTCATATCTGGGATGTCCCATACGTATCCGGTTAATGTGCTCCATTGCTTGGATTTCCATGCTGGGATACCAGCTTCGAAAAGAAGATCCATCTGTTAGATTAGTAAGAATATGTTGCGATAAATGCGATGGCCATATGCCGAGAACGGTAGTTTCAAGAAAATCAAACTTACATCGGCACCCGAGAGTCCGGAGAGCTCTGGTACGTAAAAGTACGCCCATACAATTGAAACAACAATCATGGCAAGCCAGATAAAGCACACCTTAATTTCAAGATCTGCCGCAGTGGCATCGACGAGGTATGGTGTTACAAACCCAATCGCCCAAGTCGATAGCCAATATACCAGCATGGTGATAGTGGATTGATGAAGTCTTAGGCGCTGAGAGTAGGGCTCAGTCATAATAACCCAACCTAGAGATTGTCAGTAAAGACCGCTTGAAAGAATCATTGCGGGAGAAATTGGAAGATCGTTTTCATACCTATACTACCCCAAGTCGCAGCGTAAGCTGCAATGAAGATTACCGTACCCGCAATCAGAGCGTTATGACTGCTGGTGCTGTCTGGAGAGACCATGTTGATGACCGCGGGGACCAACATTGCCACTCCCATGATCATACCTCCCCACAGCAGACATAAACGTCGGCCAACCTGTTCCACCAAAAAGGTCGATAAGACTGTGAATATCGCGTTCACTAGGGCGAGAATCAGGGAAATCAAGTATGAGTTACTGACTCCAGCTTGTTGGAAAAACGTCGTTCCATAACCAAACCAAAATGTGATCCCAGTCGAAATTGTCAAAATCGCCATACACACCCCAAGCAACTGGCGGCGTAAGTTTGATCCTTGGAAGCATTCAATGAGTTTAACACTGCTGTGCGTGCTTTGTTCCGTGAGCCAGATACTAATTTCCTCATACTCTTGTGACATTTCTTCGGAGTTCATGCCAATGTTCCGAAGGACCGCAAGGGACTGGCGAGCCTCTTCGGGCTTGCCCTTCTTCAATAACAAGACAGGTGACTCAGGGGCAACGATGGCCCCTATAAAGACCACGAAAGCGAGGAAAAGCTGAAAACTGATAGTTATCCCTAGTTTAAGCAGAGTGTCAGTGGCTGATGATCTATTATATCGGTATCTTTGGCAACTTACGCCATGTGTTTGCACCAGAAAGTTTGCTTGTCCCCATGTTAATACCACATGCCAATACATTGCCACAGGTGAGAAGAAGAGTGTAGAATGACACTAGTCGACCTCTTGTGTTTCCGTTTGAAGATTCAACCAAGTACATGGGCGACTGTTAAAGAATTGGTTCAATGTTAGTAACTTCTCTTCTCCACTTTGGAAGCCTCCCAATGGGCTAGACCTACCACAACAGAGATAATCCCAAGTGCTGCGCCCAGGAATATACGACCGACAGAAAACGCTGCTGGCGGTGGAGCGACGGTCTGCATTATGACGCCAATTGTGTAAACTGTTGCCGCCAGTATCAAACTGCCCTTGCGACCAACTGCAGATATTTTGTCAATCGGGCACTGTGGAAAATTTAAAGCAATGATTTGGCTCAGGGAAACAGACTTACTTCGATTGCCGGTGATAGAAGCTGAAATTGATCCTAGCATTGTCCCCACCGCCAAAATTGAAGTAAAAAGTGATCGGGTCTCAGGCTTTAGATACTTGGCTCCGGTCGAATGGTCTGTTACCCCGTATCTGTCGATAAAATCTTCTGAGCCCAAGACACCATTCAAATAGCCCGAGTCATATCCAATCAACGCCCCTATACGAATTGGTCAGACATTGATCGCCAGGATATTCAAATTCGATCGAAGACATACCCGACGCAAATATCATTCCAAAAACGATGCATTGTCGAAAGGACCACATTTCAATATTATAAGGAGGTTTAGCAAAAAAAGAATAGGAGAATTGCAAGGTTCCTTGTCCAAGCTAGATATGGAAATCAAGTCAAGGACTGCCTCGTTTGGACAAATAGTTGTAACCAAAAACGAAGAAATGGATAAAATAGGTTTTCTATATAAAGACTATTGAAATTTTTTGTCTTTTAGGTGACCACCTTAGAGTTCACGATAAGTATCTGTAGATAGGTAATATCCTTATGGTATCCTCCCCAGGGCCGGAGGCAAAAGATATATACCGCGGACGATGAATTCCCTCCAGTCCTGTGAGCTAATATACGACAGTATCGTAGTTATCGTTTGAGTTGATATTCACTCTATCTTTCGGATCTCAGGTGAGTCAAACTGTTATAGAAAGCGTAGCCAATCATTTAGCCACAGCAAATTATGTTATCTAGTGAAAAACGTAGATAACCTTAGTTTCTCCACTCAAGCTGAATTGTAATTCCTTATCTACATAGCCCGAGATGTATACATCTACTCGGCGGAACGTGAATTCCTCACCCTCTGTACAAAGTTTAGCGGATAACCTTGGGTTTCTGTTCCCACCTAGGTTGATGGGAATATTTTATCTATCCCAATGCTGTACTTTTACTAACCCATCATAACAAGAGCCTAGACCTCAGAGTCGATTGACTATCAGGAGTTGTCAAGGGCTATAAAATTCGTACGGCTCTGTGTTCTATGCCGAGTCTCCTCATACTCGTCATAGTTACTATCCTCAGTCCACATGTTGAATTTAAGCCCATCATATCATGCTCACAAAATATCACATTCTAACCATCTTCTTCTCACCACGACACCCTCATAAATAATTTGGCAGTGAAAGTCATTTCGGTTTGGGACAAATAGCTCTTTGCATCTTAAGGCCATTTGCTTCGGAGTATTCCATAATTGGCGTCGACAAGGTCTGCATACGCATGTCACAGAAACGTGACTTGGTCACGGTCTCAAATGCTTACAAGCTCATTGTAATTGTAGGTAGAATGGTCGAAATTTTATGTTCTTCCACCGGAAGCCAACTCCGATCAACAATATCTTGAATCAATAACCCGACAAGAGGCTTTTCCATTTCTCTGATGTCATCAAAGGAAGAAAGGAGGCACAAGGATTCCACATCCTAAGTGGTTGAGATTTTTCAAAATTTATAGACAATTCACACTTCACGATGAACTAGCCGCTTTACTGGCATTGGGGTCATGAGCGTCCACCTCAATTTCAACCCGCATATCGTCCTCCCCTAACCGTGTAACACCAACACAAGTCCAGATGGGCTGATGGTCCGGCATGTACTTTTTGAAGTTTCGAACCATGGCTGCTAAAGCCTCGTTGTTGATTGGGACGTGGTAAGAGTTGACGCGGTACACTTGGGACCAACCTTCGCCACCAGCATCTTTCAAGCAACGCTCCACGTTGGCAAAGGCAAGATCAATTTGAGCATTTATTTCCAACTCAAATTCACCAGTCTTAGGGTCCCAGCCACCTACAAGTCATGTTGCGTTTCAAGTTAGCGAATCTTCTGATAATCAAAAGTTGCCCAAATGGAAAGCCAATTGGACCTAGGTCTGTATTTACTAACCTTGACCAGCGCATTCAATACGATCGCCAACTCGAACTGCTTGACTATACCAGAAATCCCGCTGCTTTTGTTGCCCGGCGCCTTCATATGCGTAGAACTTGAGGTGAGACATTTTCGAGTAGGTAGGCGAAATTGAAGGTGGTAATTAGAAAGGAAAAATAAAAGGAATAGATCCTGGACGGATTTCTGATAGCGATCTTAGAGAGATGTTTGAACAAAATAAAAAGTGATACGCAGAGACCGGTTAAATAACCTTGGAAATGTTGGTCTACCATGACCTTGTCATAGTACCACCATCAGGGTTGCTCCACATGCGGAATGTGAATTCCGCTCGCTTTATCTTTAGTAACGTATTGAGACGACAATTAAATCTCAATAAACTAACTCTTGGAGTATTGAAACCGACACGGAAAATATTTTCAATATTTCACCTTGTGGATTTGTCAATGGAGAGCCAGTCAGCTATGTCGCAACGGAATACATCCCCCGGAGGTAGAAAGCGAGCATCGACCCGATCAAAGTACGCTTCGCGAGCTTGTCAGGAATGTCGCCGGCGCAGGGCAAAGGTAGGGCTGTTGTTGTCACCTGCATTGTCCGATCTACACTAGACCTCCCCGGGGGCGGGGAAGCCATACCTAGCGTGCAAACTTTAGAGATTCTGATGCCTCCAATTCTGACTCATGAGCCAATAGTGTGACGGCGAGAAGCCCTCGTGCGCAAGATGCCTCCAACGTGGAATTGAATGTGTTTACAACACAGGGGACGAGAATCGGGGCACGGCACCTAGGTCCCTTGTCCGCCTACTCCAGGCTCGCATTAAGAAGCTGGAGGATATTCTCTGGCTACATTCTATCGACATCAATATCCCCGTTGATCACACCGACGGAAATGATATCCCAGTGAACGACAAACCAGCAGATTTGACGCGCTCCACAGCTTCCCATCAAGCACATTCAAAATTTGATAACCCCTCTTGTACAGACGGGCATCTTAATTTCGACGACCATGGAGAGGCATTTTATTTTGGCTCCAGCAGCGGACGGGCCGAGCTTTTGCGGCCGACAGGTGAGAAATTATTATGAGGCCAATATTCTTTGCCAAATTTTGCAATGCTACTTGTTAAATACTAACATACTGTCCTGCAGAGGGCGCAAATGAGGACCCTGGCTTATCCTTAAATACATTCCCTCGATTCCCGCACAACATGTATTCCCAGGCAGTTGACTCCACATTGGAGATCTCCAAGGAGCTTCAAGAGCACCTAGTTTCCCTTTACTTTGAATGGGAGCAGCCATGGTTCCAGCTGGTCGATGAAACTCTGTTTCGGGAAAGCTGGAACGAAAATGGGAGATATTCCAATCCACTGCTTCTTAACTGCATATTCGCCCTGGGTTCTCGCTACTCGGACAGAACAGAAGTACGCTCCAATCCAGAAGATCCTAACACAGCTGGCCAGCTGTTTCTAGAGCTCGCCGAAGTGCTGTTACATTTTGATCTGAAGTCGCCAAGTATCATTACTATTCAATCCCTTGCCATGATGGCTATCCTTTATGTTGTAAGTTCTAGCATCAAGCTTCATTTTCTCCTCATTATGTTCTATTTTAACTATGATTACAGGCAACAGGCTCTGATGCCAAAGGTTGGCTACGTCATGGCATGGCTATTCGATTAGGATTAGACATGGGGTTCAACTTGGACTCTTCAACACTTGTTTCCTCAAATCGACTTCCAGCCACAGAGATTAGACTTCGGAGGCAGTTATATTGGGCTCTATATTGCACCGATAAACTTTGGGCAACCTATACAGGTCGAATCTGTACCATGCTGGTAGGTAGATATGTCATATTGGAAGACTAGACATGAATCTAACGAATCTCAACTCAGGACTTCCAATCAACAGTGAGCCTTCCGCCACCAGCTTCTATACCTGCTGGTCTTTCACCTGCTTCTTTGAGCCCTGCGGGTGGAAGTATACGGGAATCGCTCAATTACGCCCTATGCACCCAATGCCAAATACTAGAAAAGATATTGATCAAGCTGTGGGTTCCTATTCAGACTGCACACCTCTCGATAAATTTAACATTTTTTTTGCGTAGTTATGCGCCCAGGAGTTTGCCTCGAGGAGCTCAAAGACGAACTTTCTTTGATTCTTGTCTTCTTGAACTCAAAACCTGGAAGTATACCCTTCTGACTGAGTTGCACACGAAGGTTGCAGGAGAAAGCAGCAAATATCCTCACTCATACGTCCTCAGCATGGTTTATCATACATCTATCATCCTCCTGGCAAAGCCTTTTCTGCGTAAAAAGCTAAACCCAGCGCTTGCCCATACGGATTCTCCTTTGAGAATAGAGGAGGACGTTGCAAGTAAAGCGGCGACATTATGCATGGATGCTGCGAAGAATGTTTGTCTGCTTGGCGAACAGTACCGGGAAACCTTCGGCAGCTTTCGAAGAGCGCCAATTAGTGTTACTCACTGCACACTTTCCGCGGCTCTCATGTTATTATATGGCCCTGTTGAGGCGACGAGCCAACATACAAATACGGAGTGCATCCAATCATGTGTGGTAACATTAAGAGAGCTTTCGGATTCGTGGATGCCCGCACAGAATTATTGGCGTAGCGTCTTATGCATCTTCAGAGATCGCCAACGTTCCACTTTTGGTATCCCGAAAGAGACCCCATCCACGCGACCTGTCGTGCGATCTATCTACACAGAGGGAGGATCCTTGCCCTTGCAAGACTTATCGGAGGCTTCCCATGAGCTTTTCGAATCACCAGTGTCAAATTCATGGGCAGATGACTCAAGCTTTCCGGAGGTATCTGTTGAGGATTTGAACCTTGCTAGCATGTTTCCATTAGGGTCCCTTTTTGCCTATGACGATTTTGAGGGGCTCAATATACCGCCTGGTCTTAGTTAATAGGAAACTGAAGATGATTGATAAATAATGAACACAATTGGCTTTATCCTTCTAGCAACCACGATACGATGGAGATTTGTACAGAAAACATGTATGTTCGTTCATATGAAATGGGATCTAACCATCTATTAGCTACCTAGCTATCAAACGGGTGCTGTCACCATGGGTGCCTAATCCCTCGGAAACAATCTTATCAAGACATCCCGTGAGATACTCAAATATCATGTTTTCTTCTAATGCTGACTAGCTGACATACATACCACAATCTTGCCCGCAGTTTTGCAGTCTACAAGATGTTGCATCTGCTCCGGAATGTCCTCGAGTGCCACCTTAGTGACGTGAGGCTTTATCTGGCCTGTCGCAATATATTCCATAACCTCGAGAGCTTCCCGATGTCCCCCCATTAAATTCCCCGACACATGTAAATTACGCTCCACAACAGAATGCAATGGAAGGCAGACATTATTCTTGCCTTTGGGTACCCTGTGGTAAAAGATTCAAGAGATTAGCCATGATGAATTGAGATGAAGGGAATGACATGGAAGAAATTCCTTACCCTACACAGACGATCCTTCCACCGTCGCAGACATACTCGTCCAATCTCTGGAAAGCCGAAAAAGAGCTACTAGCAACTATGACTGCTTCAGCCGCACGCCGCACGCCGTGGTTGCGGCGTAGTTTCTCGCAACTCTGCATCAACATAGAATGAAAGCTCAACCAGGCGTCCCCCATATCGGTTTCGGGTGCACCAAGGAGGATATCGATGTAGTCACCATAATCCTGAGATTGAATCTCGTCGATCTTAGACTTTAGATCGATGCCGATCACTCGTGCTCCGAAAACTTCCTTTGCAATCGCCCCAGTCAGGTGGCCAATAGCTCCAGCCACTCCGACGACTATAACCACATCTCCCAGACTGGCTTTTGCTGCTCGCACAGATACCAATGCCGTTGATCCAGAGCATAGCGCCGCTGTGCAGAAAGCTAGATCAACATCTCCCTGAAGGAGTGCATCAGGCAACGGCACAAGGCAGCTAATTGGGACCGTTGCATATTCTTGAAATGTGCCAGTAATATGCTTGGGAACATTGAGCTGTGATGGACATGATGTAAACAGGCCACGGATGCAATATATGCAGAAGCCGCAGGACTTTCCTAAATAGCGGATTCCAACAGTGCGGCCGATGATGAAAGGGTCGTGCGACTTGACAACACGGCCGATACCTTCGTGGCCAGCAATGTGGTTTTGTTTAGGATAGCCAGATCCTGGTCCAACCGAGAAGGATGCGTCCTAATAAATGTCAGGTGTCAGCGAAATATTCATTGATTAAATATAGACAAGGTAGAGGTGAAAAACATGTTAGCGATGCAAGATATTAACTTACACTGCGACAGATACCTGTATAGAGAATTTGGATGACAGCCTCTCCATGATCTGGCTCTCGTACAGCAATATTCTCTAAAACTAAGTTCAAGTTCTCACCCATCTCCGGTGTGAGAATGGCTCTTTGCATCAAAGGGAAGGGAAGGCCAGGCATCTCCGGCAACTTGGCGACCATTGATTCGGACGAATTTGCCTCATATTGTAAAGATTCCTTGTCAAAGTTGATATCTGGTTCCACCGTATTGTGAATTTGCACCGCCGTAGCAGTACCTTTCCTTAATTCTCCATTGGAAGACACTGTACTGTTGAATGGGTGCACGACGATGTCTCCACCGAGGGACACATGAGGTGTCCAAGTCGCTATCATATTTCTCCTCGAAAATTCGTTGTAGATGTGAATTTATGAGGTATGGATGAAGTGCTGTTGATGGTGCTTTTGAGAAAGGGATATTGAAGCAAACAATGGCACCTCGGCAGATGCATAATCCACAGTCGTCACTACACAAATTACTTTATCTTATTACGTGGCTTGTGACTGGTAATTTTGAAGGTAGGAATAAGAATTCCGCGGGAATGCGGAATGAGTGTTCCTTGTCGTATCTAGCCCTGGAGTGGTGAGAGGAAGGTAAATTCCGCCTCCCCAATCCAGCACTAGGAGGTACATGCAGGATCCCCACAAAATGATACTGACAAAATAAGATGGAGTTTAGCAAAAAGAAAAGATATTTGCTAATGAAAAGCAGCTATGTCATGTTGGTGTTGTTTTGCAAAGCCCGTGTGACGGTGTATTACGTGAATGACTCCATAGATGCGTCAAACGAACTGTCGTCGTCTGAAGTATTGGTCGCAATAAGAGGTGTAGACTTCTATTTGAAGTTTCATACAGGGGGGTGTAGAAAGATTGATCACTTAAGCTACCTATACAAAAAGCTTGATTGAAACTCCCAAGTTGGACGTGCTAGGCTGGGAATCAACTGCTAAGGAACATTCTACGGGGCCATACCGGTAGGAGCCTAACGCTATAGGGTATACTACTAGCTCTAGTAAACTCCTATGTTAGAAATTAGTACAGCATAGAATATTGGAGTTCCTTCCCGGAATTGTTGATATTGAAGCCAAGGAGCCGTAGTTGGCGGCACGGAAGAAATCATCGGTGTTATCATGATTTCCCACTGATTTGGGCTATATACATAATATTCTTGGTCATACGTATTTATGAGGCACATGAATGTATTATTATTATAGGGTCAATTGTAGAGTACTACCTACATATATACAATATGTATGTACCTATGTATATATGTAGGTAGTACGTAGATATATATACCGCCGGTTGTAGGCAGCAAAATAAAGTTCAAGGAATGTGATTGGTGGAAGGAGATCACGGGGTAATCGACTCAGCGTCGTAGTTGGCCAGGTGACTTTGTGGGAACTTGGAGAGGGTTATCTTCTTTCTTTGATATCATCTTATCTACGATTTTCTCATAACCCTTGGGGATTGGGTTCAATATCCAGTTTCTCAGCCCTGCTTTTCAACTGCCCCGGTGTCCCTGGACTTTGCGTCATACTGGCGCACTTGGCAACTCCCCAGAGATCTTGCCTCTCACTCTCCTCCAGTGATCAGAATCCTCTAGCATGATCTGCTCTGTGAAGCGGAAAGTCCTGGACGGACTGAATAAGAGATACATTTACGGTCGGTTGGTATGTTTGGTGCCCCTTGCTGACGCTGGCATGTTGTCACCTTCCAATCTGTTTACAGCCACTAATCCTATTGTCATTATCATTCTAGCCTTTATTGCACACAATCATTTTCCTCGTCGAGATGGCAGTAGCAGCACGCCTCGCTGCCAAATTTAATACCTACTATGCTGAAAGGCCAGGTAAGCCTTTTGCCGCCGGTTCCCGCGGGATCACAGACTGACATCACTGCTATGAATAGTGCTCACGACGATGGTCACCAACGCTGTAAGCGCCCGCGATATTCATTACCTTATGGCCCGACAGTTAACCAAATGGATGCTATAGGTGCTTGGTGGCGTTGCCGATACCGTTGCGCAGCTGATTACGGCTTTCCGGACCCGCCGGCTTCAGACAAGCGGAGACGAGTTCCTTTCGATAGAGATTCCCGACATTGACAAGCACAAGGCCCCTGCTCTAGGAGAACTGGGATATGGCCGGACCTCGGTGCCGCCTTTCGATTTCGAGCGTTTGACGAGATTCATGGCTTATGGTTTCTTCATGGCCCCGCTGCAGTTCCAGTGGTTCGGATTCTTGTCCAGAGCATTCCCGCTCACCAAGAAGAATCCAACGGCTCCAGCTTTCAAGCGTGTCGCTTTTGACCAGCTCATTTTTGCGCCATTTGGTATGCTCCGCCTTTAGCTACTTTGGGATGTTTTGGGGCTGGGCTGATTTATTCTAGGTCTGGCGTGCTTTTTTACCTACATGACGATCGCCGAGGGCGGTGGTAGAAGGGCATTGACACACAAGTTCCGTGATGTCTACCTGCCCACCCTGAAGGCCAACTTTGTGCTCTGGCCGGCAGTGCAGATCCTAAACTTCCGGGTCATTCCCATTCAGTTTCAGATTGTGAGTCTCCCAAGTTCTGCGCGTTAAGATGGGGCTCGTGCTGACTTCCTAACCCAGCCATTCGTCTCGACCGTTGGTATTGCGTGGACCGCATACCTTTCTCTGACTAACTCCGCCGAGGAGGTCTAATTGAACACTACCCAACGCGAATATCATGATAACGATTCGGGCTATAAAGGCTATAAATTGCACTCTTTTGCTAAATAATTCGGGCGTTCCGGTTGATCAGTGTAGCTGTCATGTACATGGTCCTAGTATTTGCCCACCGACAGGGTCCGCATTTCAAAGGTTCAGATTTTACACATTTGGGAATACCAACTGGGGGTTTTGCTATTGACAATTTTCGTGATTTGACTTAGATGCTTTAGGAAAATACTGCTTTTCAGCTATTTAGCCTTTCACCCCTCCGTTGGAGCTTCACATGAGACTCGGAAAACATCTAAGCATGTAGCGGCTATGGACATTTCCATCCGTAGAGGTAATCTTCCCAGAATTGCCCGACTCCGAGGCTAAAGAGGACCAAAGAGGACCAAAGAGGACTAAAGAGGACCTTTATGGCCCGGCCTTCCCCGTATCAACAAGCAGCTCTGACATCAGTCCCGCGTCAGCCCGATCAGTTCTCCGGGGATAGTCGGGTACGGGAAATTGAGGTACCAATTTTATAGAGATACTTCGGAAACACTACTTTTATCATACTTTGAATAAGTACCTCATGAGACCAAGTACATCACCGGTAAGTACCTAGGTTGCTACGGTTGCGACCTCTTCACCGGCCTGCCCCACCATAACTGACCCCTCCACTCTCGACTGATCGCGACTCACCGTGGCCTGATTAGTTCTTTCTCCTACTTCTATCCCTTTTCTTACTTCTTTTCCCATTGTCATACCATCAACCACCTACAATGTCTCTCTCCAACAAGCTCCCCGTTACTGATGTCGATCTCAAGGGCAAGCGTGTCTTGATCCGGGTAAGCTTCCAGTCAATTGAGCTTTATTACTCGCAGCCCCTAACCGCTGATTGAAACAGGTTGACTTCAATGTTCCCCTCGATGAGAACAAGAACGTTACCAACCCCCAGCGTATCGTTGGTGCTCTGCCCACCATCAAGTATGCTATCGACAACGGTGCCAAGGCCGTTGTGCTCATGTCCCACCTCGGCCGCCCCGATGGCAAGGTCAACCCCAAGTACAGCCTGAAGCCCGTTGTTCCCGTGCTTGAGAAGCTTCTCGGCAAGAGCGTAACCTTCACTGAGGACTGCGTTGGTCCCCAGACCGAGGAGACCGTGAACAAGGCCACCGACGGCCAGGTCATTCTCCTTGAGAACCTGCGTTTCCACGCTGAGGAGGAGGGCAGCTCCAAGGATGCCGAGGGCAAGAAGGTCAAGGCTGACAAGGCCGATGTTGATGCGTTCCGCAAGGGCCTCACTGCCCTCGGTGACGTTTACGTCAGTACGTAACCCCACGATAATGTTCCGATTTCCCATTCTTTCATTTCTAACATTTATCCAGACGATGCTTTCGGTACCGCACACCGCGCTCACAGCTCCATGGTCGGTGTGGACCTCCCCCAGAAGGCCGCCGGTTTCCTCGTGAAGAAGGAGCTGGAGTACTTCGCCAAGGCTCTTGAGAGCCCCGCCCGTCCCTTCCTCGCCATCCTTGGTGGTGCCAAGGTGTCCGACAAGATCCAGCTGATCGATAACCTCCTGCCCAAGGTTAACAGCCTCATCATCACCGGTGGAATGGCCTTCACTTTCAAGAAGACTCTTGAGAACGTCAAGATCGGTAACAGTCTCTTCGACGAGGCCGGCAGCAAGATTGTCGGCGAGATCGTCGAGAAGGCCAAGAAGTACAACGTCGAGATCGTCCTCCCCGTTGACTACGTCACCGCCGATAAGTTCTCCGCCGATGCCACCGTTGGTGCCGCCACTGATGCCACCGGTATCCCCGACGGCTTCATGGGTCTGGATGTTGGCCCCGAGAGTGTCAAGCTCTACCAGAAGACCATCGCCGAAGCCAAGACCATCCTCTGGAACGGTCCCCCCGGTGTCTTCGAGCTTAAGCCCTTCGCCAGCGCTACCGAGGCTACCCTCGATGCCGCTGTCAAGGCTGCCGAGTCTGGCTCCATCGTCATCATCGGTGGTGGTGATACTGCTACCGTGGCCGCTAAGTACAAGGCCGAGGACAAGATCTCGCACGTCTCGACTGGTGGCGGTGCTTCGCTCGAGCTTCTCGAGGGCAAGGAGCTTCCCGGTGTTGCTGCTCTGTCCAGTAAGTAAATGATGAAAATTAGTCGGCGAAGAGAGTCTTTATCGGCTTTTCTCTCGTCTCGCATGTTTATGAAACTGTAATGTACACAGCCAATGAATTTCCTTTAATTACAAACACACTTCTTTTAAAAAAAAAATCTCCATTGTGCTCTTATATCGGATAACTAAGTGTTGTGCCCAGGTACGAAACCAAAGCTTTAGTCGCTACGTTAAGAGATATCCCGTGGTCAATAGTCGTGTATAAATGCGCGAAGAGATTCCTACGGTGAATAAATAGGATAGCAGCGCCACAGCGGCATGTAAACCGAATGGAACCGTGCCAAACCCACTCACATCTCCATCTCGCAACTTCCGCTGATACTTCAGTTCATCCTATCCTACAAAACACCACTTTAGACTTGGGCAGAATGAGAAGCTTTGATATTGGAAAAACATCAAAGAAAACATCATGATAGTAATCCAGAAAGCAAGATCTGCGCTCCGAGTAATGAATCGTAAAAAAAAGTCAAAAGAACCGTGTCTCATTCCCTCCCCGACAAGCTCCCGACAAATGCATGCGGCAATTATGGTTTCTGAATCCTCCCATTGGTTCCAAAGACAGGGGGGTATAGTGTGCGAGATGAAATGGCCAGCCAACTCGATAATGAACCCATCCCGAAACCCGACGCGGGGGTTATCTCTTTTTGGTGTGCTTGTTCGGTCTCATCTAGGTCTAAGCCGATGCTTCGACTTTCTTCAATTCTTCCCTGGATGAGGTGATGCATGTTAGTGGGTGCGGCGAAGGAGGGGAAGCTGACAGCTGTGGCGGGGATGTGGGATCCGGGGCGCGAGCGTCGGTTGCGGTGTAGATATGAAATGGAATAAAATTTGAAAACAAGGGATAGGGAATAAATGGGAATCGAAGTGGAGGGATGTGAATGTGAATGGGAGTATAGCGAAAGTCGAACTCACTGGAGCTGCTTTGAGAAGTCCTCCGCCGCATCATCGTCATCCCAGCTCTCTTCCCACAGGTGCTCGCTACCGTCATTTGCTGTCGAGCCATTGGTCTGTTCGGCTTCTTCTTGGGGCCAGTCTAGATGTCGTCGAGTTAGCTTCGTTGCTCCAGGGTAGAGCTTGAGTGCTTGGTCGGTACCTTCAACGGGGAAATCCTCGAACTCGTCATCTTCCTCTAGGACTTGGGGCTTGACTTGTGGCGGGGCCTGCTCTGTGGCATCGGCCTTCTGGGTAGTTGGGTTTGACATTGTAGTAGATGTGATAGACCGGGAGGATCAAAGGTAGATAGGTGGAGATGTGGACGTGGATGTGGCAGCTTTGAGGTCGGAGGTCGGAGGTTTGACTTAGTAAGACCGCGATAAGGCGATAACGATGATGTAGTTGGGAGACAACGTTGGAAAACAGATACAGCGTTGGGATTCAAATAAAAAGAAATGAAAAATTGGAATGATGATATTGAAGAAGTGAATAGAAGAGAGTAATATACAATATAAATAATCCCAAACAACCCAGTCAATTTGGGCTTGACCTTCTATAAAAGGAATAGCCACACGCGGAGCTGCCGGCGAAAAGAAACCATGGGAAGAGAGAGCCTCAGCCTAGACGTGTTTTGTTATATTACATCTCGCCCCTCCCCCCTCGACTTTTCTTCTTCCCCTCTCCACTTCTTTGTGTTTCCCCCTTTCTCTTTGTTACTCTCCATATGAGTGATGTTCTCGTCCATCGTGTTTCCGCTATCGCACAGTTGACATATTGACATTCTTCCCGATCCGGCGCTCTCTCTTTTCGGCTTGATCGGATTGATCTGACCTGAGATCATCGTTGATTGTGTCCTCATTGAAAGATTCATTCTTCATACTCACTGCCAGCGGTTTTCGCCATGTTGCGAGTCGGCTCCTGGTTGTACGGCAAAAAGCCAGCGGGGTCTGTGGACTCGGTGGTTGAGTTGAAAGACTGTGAGTGGTGCTATATACTCTAGCAAAGCCAATAGTGGTCGTTTGATTGCATGCTGACCGCGGTATTCTGAACTAGTGCATGAGGCAATGACAGGTATGTCCTGTGGGGAACGGGGAACGTGCGACCTTCAGGCACCGACTAATGCCATGCCCATCTAGCGGCAACACGGATTCTCAATGACGATGTTGATGGTGCGGAGAGTGGTCTCTCCACGGGTACTTCGTCTTTTCACAATGTGAGTGATCGTCACTATGAGCTATGACGTAACACAGCCCTCGAGGAAAGATGCTGACTCTCGATCGAGTAGTTGGGTAAAGGCGTGGTCGCATTCGTCCGGGCAACATTAGGCTTTGAGCAGGAGATTATGCGACTAGGTCCATGCTCTTTTTATCTTTTAATTCCACTGTTTCTGACAATCCCGCAGCATCCGAGCGTCTTTATGAAGCAGAAACCAGCGCGGCCAACGATCAAACCCGGTCCCAGCAAAACCCCCAAGCACCCAATGCCTTTCACTCCGATATATATGCTGCCGGCACCGAATATGCGCTGTGCCAAGCAATCGCTCAATTGATGAGTGCTGTGGTTGGGGTACTGAATGAAAGCCTGACAGAAAGCATCAAAGCATTCTATCGGCTGAGAAAGGCGTACATCGCTCTAGACGCTATCATGAAGATGGAGGAGAAGTTTATGGAGCAGAGGAATATACACAGAGTTCTACTGCCTAGCACGAGTGACCTCTCAACCTCGAGCGCTGCATGCACAGACATGAAGTCAGAATCATCCAGTCTTTTATCGAAAAACGGCACAAAAGAGGCTACCATCGAGCAAGCCGAGCTCAATTCGTCAATGAATGGAATGTCTATCTCCCCCGAGGGGCGTCTCCAGATACCTCGACGGGCACTTCCACACCTGCAAAGCATATCCACCACGACCCCGACTCCGACATCTTCAAGAATGAAATCGATGTTTTTGTGCATTCTGGTGCCAACTTCTGCTTTGGTATTCTTCTTCTGTTGATTTCCATGGTTCCACCAGCATTCAGCAAGCTTCTTTCCATTATTGGCTTCCGCGGCGACAAGCAACGAGGGCTGAGAATGCTCTGGCAAGCCAGCAAGTTCCACAACTTCATCGGTGCCATGGCTGCCTTGGCACTATTAGGATATTACAATGGCTTTGTCCGCTACTGCGATATTATGCCCGACCCAACTCCTGGCGAAACTGACGTTGAGGGATACCCACAGGAGAGGCTGGCTGCGTTGCTGGCGGAGATGCGGTCTCGGTTCCCTAACAGTCAACTTTGGGTGATCGAAGAATCGCGCATGTTAGGCGCGAACAAGGAGCTGGAAAGCGCCCTGGAACTGTTGTGCACTGACAAGAAGAGCCCGCTCAAGCAGGTCGAGGCGCTGTGCGTGTTCGAAAAGAGCTTGAACGCACTGTTCCTTCATAAATACGATGTCTGTGCTGAGGCATTCATCGAGGTAAGATTTTTTTTTTGCAGATATTTCTGAATCATCAAGCTAATTATTTCAGTGTGTGGACCTCAACTCGTGGTCTCGTTCATTGTATTATTACATCGCCGGGTCGTGCCATGTTGCCCTGTACCGGCAATCACTCAACGACCCAAAGCTTGCAGAGGAACATGCTAAGAAAGCCACCGTATACATGCGGAAGGCACCCGAATTCGCCGGGAAGAAGAAATTCATGGCCCGACAACTGCCGTTCGATATCTTTGTGACACGGAAGCTTGCCAAGTGGGAGGCGCGCGCCAAAGAATGGAACGTGCCTCTGGTGGATGCGGTTGGAGTTGACCCCATCGAAGAAATGATCTTCTTCTGGAACGGACACAGTCGCATGACCAACGAGCAGCTAGAAGAGTCCCTGGTCCGGCTTGATTGGTGCGAAAGCAAATACAACAAGACATGGTCTCGCGAGGGGACCGAAGAAAAAGCGATCCTGGAGCTTCTCCGGGCTGCCATTTTCCGGTCTCTGCACAGACACCACGAGGCGAAAAATATCCTGCAGACTCGCGTGTTAAACCACGACAAGTCTGTGTTCAAGGGCCACCTGAAGGATGACTGGGTCCACCCAGTTGCGCATTTCGAAATGGCCGCTAACTTCTGGATGGAGCGTCCAACATACCAGGACTTGCATGGAATCGCTGCTTCCCCCAAGGCGTCGGACGAAACGTCCACAGGTTCTGGGGAGACGATCAAGGAGGCTGAGAGAAAGCAGGTAGCCGAGTGCAAGGTGTACCTTGACCATGCTGCTCGCTGGGAGAGCTACGAGCTCGATGCCCGTATTGGACTCAAGGTTACTGCCGCGATGGAAGCAGTCCATAAATGGGAGAGCATGCACCCGACAATCTAATGGCCATTATTGTGTCTGTTTCAATCCTTGGGCACGTCTCTGTTTATAGCTGCCCCGGATAACTTGTGTAACATACACGTATAGAGTACAAGTAGATGTTAGGGTTAGATGTTTTACGATGTTTTTTTTTACATCCCTTTTTACTCCCTTTCCCATCAGCACAAGGATATCATGTGATACTCCAACCCTCATTACATCTACAATTTAGTTACCCCAATCGACAAGACGTAAAACGTCAATGCTTGAACATGAATTTAATTGGCTCTAACAGGCCCAGATGGAGTCGTTCCACTTATAGCAGTCGGCCCTTCGGCCCCATGGCCACTAAATCCGAGCTCCAGTATTCCTGCACAGGTCCTGGACTGGCATGATAAGTCTCGGTGGTCGAAAAGGACCCCGAGAACGAGCCATTCAGGTATCTTAGGATTAATTAGGCACCGAGATCGGCAACCTGACAGGAACCTTGGAAGCTCTCGGATAACACGGCTTTCCCATCGGACGTCCGACAAAAATCTCGGAAGCAAATAAAACAACTCTAGATCCCCGATATCTCTCAGCCTTACAGTTCCTAATTCTATAAACTAGCTCGGCTTGAGACCTGTCCCGTCATATCCACTTCTTATCTCCGAAATTCTTTTTTTTCCGTGGACTTTTCCACCGTAATTTAGTCGACTTCATAATATCTCGTCTCCTATATTCCACCTTCGCAGCTCTAACCCTGGGCCTACGACATTCCAGCCAATAAATTGTGCGTGATAATGGCCGAACGGACAGAACATGGCTATCCCGCCAGCAATTCTAGCGATGATATCGAGTCTATCGAACCGCATCGCAGCGACAATGCGGCGAATGAAATTGCTAGATTAGAAAAGCAAAGTACAGCGGCATCGGGGTATTCAGCCTTCGAACAGCGCACACAATCAATAGTCTCGCGCATTCGGAGTCGAGAGCCCGGCCAGACAGCGAAATTCAGTCATCCACTCACCCACACCAAGACAAGTCCCGATGTTATTGTGGATTTCGACGGTCCGGATGATCCTTACAGACCATTGAACTGGAGTTTCAGGAAGAAGGCTATCACGACGGTGTTGTATGGATTAACTACTATGGGTATGTCCGCAGGCAATGCTGGGGAAATAATGAATTGTGAAGAACAACGCTAATCGCAGTTATCCAATTGCAGGTGCGACATGGGCGAGTTCAATGTATGTTCATTTCTGCTTGCTTGACGGTTTATAGATTCATTTAACTAACTACATTGTTAGTTACTCGACGGGTCAGGCACAGATTAGCGAGGAGTTCGGCATCTCGAGTGAGGTCGCTACACTCGGCACCTCATTGCTCTTGTTTGGCTTGGGATTGGGGCCCTTGCTCTGGGCACCTCTCTCTGAGCTCTATGGACGCAAAACGGCAGTTTTGCCACCCTACTTTCTCGCGGCCATCTTTTCCTTCGCGACTGCCACCGCGAAAGATGTACAGACTATCATGATCACTAGATTCTTTACGGGCTTCTTCGGTTCCGCCCCTGTTACCAACACCGGCGGAGTCCTGGGTGATATCTGGACCCCCGAACAGCGTGGAGCTGCTATTGTTGGCTATGCTATGGCTGTTGTGGGTGGGCCTGTAATTGGACCCATCGCGGGTGGTGCCATCGTCCAGAGCGATCTAGGATGGCGCTGGACTGAATATGTAAGTTTTCCACGTCTCCGGTGTTGAAACTATGCTAATATCTACTAGATCACCGGTATTATGATGATGTTCTTCCTCATCATGGACATCCTCTTTGTTGACGAGAGTTATCCACCAGTCCTGCTGGTGTATAAGGCGCAACGACTGCGCTTCGAAAGCGGCAACTGGGCCCTCCATGCACGCCATGAAGAGTGGGATGTGACCCTCAAAGAAATAGGCAACAAGTACCTCATCCGTCCCTTCCAACTCCTCACAACCCCAATCTGCTTCCTCGTTGCCCTCTACGCATCATTCGTCTACGGTATCCTCTACCTCAGTCTAGCAGCCTTCCCAATCGTCTTCCAGGAAATACGCGGCTGGAACCAAGTTGTCGGCGCCCTGCCCTTCCTCGCATACTTAGTTGGCATCCTAATGGGCGGAGGGATCAACCTTGCCAACCAGAAATTCTACCTCAAGCGCTTCAAAGCAAATAACAATCGCGCCATCCCCGAGGCTCGACTCCCGCCAATGATGCTGGGCTCTGTAATTTTTGCTGCCGGCCTATTCGTCTTCGGTTGGACAAGTCCAAAGAATTTCCACTGGATTTGCCCGAATATCGGTGCGGTCATGATGGGCTTCGGCTTTTTCACGATCTTCCAGGCTGCTCTCAACTACCTCATTGATACATTCCAGAAATACGCTGCCAGCGCCATCGCTGCAAACACTTTCCTACGCTCCGTGTTTGCGGGCTGTTTCCCGCTCTTCACAAGTGCCATGTTCCATAATCTTGGTGTTCCTTGGGCTGCTAGTGTACTGGGCTTCATCTCCGTTGCGCTCATCCCCATTCCATATCTGTTTTACAGGTTCGGGAAGCAGATCCGAGCGCGTGGGACTTGGTCTCGAGATTCTGTTTAAAAATACACGAAAACGATTGTTTTATGTGGTTTTATTGTACATGTTTCGGTCTTTGATATTAGCTGGGTTGTGCGCACATTTAATCACAACGTGGTTACTCGTCGTAGCACATCCACCCCTTGCATATAATACCCTTCGAGTTTCAGCCATCTCAGATTCAATCATGTTGTTTTATACAAGCCTATTATGTCACGACATCGTCTACAATTTCTACTTTGCTACTCTTGTACGGGGGGAGAATATTCAATAGGCAAGTTTCCGCGTATTAGAGTATAACAAAGAAGCAGCAAGCACAAAAATAACAGAGTAGACAGGTAGATAGAGGTAAAGAGCGAATATAGTGAGTAAAGACGATTGAATGCCATATGTACCCAATCTCGAAGCCAAAATGCCAAAGCCATAAAATATAATGAAGACACCAAGAAGACAAAACGTGGAACATAAACATGGAGACGTAAGAAATTGCCAATGAGCGAGTTTTTGGGGGTGACTTTTTCTTTTCTTTTCTTTTTTTTTTTTTTTTTTTTGCTTTCTGTGTTTTTCTTCGCGGATGCGAGCTCAATAGTAATAATATCAAGCTCGAGTGGTGACTGTGTTTCGCCCGGTCAACTTTCGCGCAATGGTCATGGCCGCCTTCGACCATGTCTTCTTCTTCTCGATGCGAGCGACAGGATCAGGGGATGCAGCACCGGTGGCAAGAATCTCTGCTGGCTTATCATCCACGTGCTTGGAATTATGCAAAGCCAGCACGGCCATTTGGCCCAGGAAAGAGGGATGTTCAATGAGATCCTCAAGGCGAACCTTGAGCCCCTCTTGCTCAAGAAGCCAGGTAAGCTGAGCCAGATTGAAGACATCACCACCGAGGTCAAAGAAGGATGAGTCCAACTGGAACGCGGATTGGTGAGTGGGCTTTTCAGCTTCTGGGTCGACGGGGCCCGTGGTAGCGGGGCTGGGGAGGACCTGGTGCCATGAGCGAGATAGAATATCAGAATGCACAAGCAACTCTGCGATGGAGCGTGACTTGAGATGTGCACTGAGGAAGTGTTCGTCCGTTGGTCGAGACAGGTCGTCGATGGTCTGAGGTGGGAGAGAGCGCAGCATGCTCGCGGAGGGCAGCGAGGCTGTTGGGTTGGCCACGAGTGACTGCGCAATCTCACAGGCCATGTCAAGAACCTTTGATGCAAAGAATGGCATCACAGGCCCCTTTTCGGAGTAGCCGAGGGTGACATCGAGGTCACGTTCGCCAGAGGGGCGGGAGACCATGGTGAGATCGGCCAGGTTGTCGTTGACGCCAACACCACCCATGCGGTACTTGTTGGTGTCTAGCTCCATGGTTCCCTCGTAGTCGACATTCTGGTGGAAGACCGAGGTGGTGAAGTAGGTCCAGTCAGGCCAATCGGTACATTGCTTGATGATCTCGCGGAAGCCCAGAGACTCGAAGGGCATATTGGAGACCTGCTGATCTTGGAGGTAGCGGAAGAGGTCGACACCAGTCCATTTCTCGTCAAGCTTCACGCGCACTGGAATGACATTAACGCAGGGGCCAACGGTGTTATCAATGCCGGGCACTGTGGCGTTCCGACCGCTGATTGTCAGACCAAATACCACATCGGATTGAGCAGTTAGCTTGGCAAGGGCCAGAGCCCAGGCAGCCTGCATGACAGTTGCGATGGTGACATTTCCAAGGGCAGTAGGCGGGATCTCAATCTTTCTATGAATCTCGGTGAATGCTCCAACGTTCTGGAACATGCTGGTGCCCTTTCTGTGGACAACTTGGGTCATGCGGGAGCCCTTGAGAAGATCGGTCCAGTGGCGGTAATGGTCTGGGGTAATTGTTCCTGGCAACTGGCGCAAGTATCCAGCGAAGGGAGTCACCGGGGGAAGCGGGGTGCCTTCATATCCGTGCTTAATGGCAGCCATGATCTTCGGCAAGCACACTCCATCATATTGAGTGTGAGAAAGACGGACCAAGATACGGTGCTGGTCGCTGCCCTTCTTCTTGACAACGTAGAACTGCACGTACTGCTCGCCTTCGCGGGATCCATATTCGCGATCTCTCTGTTGGAGGGTCATGGTGAATTCATCCAGAGCGCGGTCAGTCTCATAAACAAAGATGCTGGGGCGGATCTTGCGCAACACGACCTGGAAGAACTGGTCATGGAAGCACACAAAGACTGTCCGTAGAATATCAAAGGCATCGACCACCTTCAAGCAACTCTCACGAAGGCGTCTCAGGTCTAAGGGACCATTGCCCTCGAGATAGAAGTAGTTAAGCATCCATCGCGACTTGAAGAGAGTTGCCGTCAGAGACATAGCCTGGAAGTCTGTGACAGGTAGGACATCGGCTATACCACCCTTGAAGACACCGATCTTAGGGCAGATACCGCTTTGGACCGCGGCATCATCGATGCACGATGGCCTGAGAACCTCGAGGCTCTCAGTGGAGGGGCTGGGCCCCAGTGTCGTCGGGGTGATATTGAGCAAGTCACTATCAACCTCCCTGTGACCGCCAGACTTGAGATCGACATTCAGCATCTGCTGAGTGACGTTCGCGGCTCGTACTGTTGACAGCATGTCCTCGAACACAGGGTTGTTGAAGACATCTGCAACGGTAAGGACCAGGCCCTCTTCGCGAGCAGCACTGACCATCTTCATAGCGGTTATACTGTCACCACCCAACTTGAAGAAGCTGTCCTGGTGTCTTACCGCGTTGGGTGAGAGACCAAGCGCTGTGCTCCAAAGATTCCACAGTTTCCTTTCCACATCGGCCGACATCCCATCCTCACTGGATCGGGAGGTCGCCGAACAAACACCTGAATCATCTGCTCCTTGGATACCTAACTGGTACGGTGAGTCGGGTATGGTGTCAGTGTGACCACCATAGTTTGACAACCCTTCCGTACGGATGGGAGGCACCGTCAGTTTTCCTTCTCTCAACATCTGACCAATAATCTCGTGAACACGATCATCAATAATTTTCTGAATAGCACTGCTGTCAATCGCTTCGCCAGTCGACTTTGCCTTGTCAGCCAGTGTGGTCTGGGAGCGATCCCAATCCAATGACTCGGGCTCAGCCTCGGAGGCGAATTTGGACTGCAACAAGGTCGCAGCCGGGGATTCAATGAAGCCGGTGAACACCTTGGCGATGGTGTCAGCTAGAGCCTGGGCTTCTTCGTCAGATACAGTATCGTTCCAGTATCTCAAAAGAACACCCTCCTGGCCTCGGGCAATCTCAACGTTTACAGTGACCGCATACTAAATGGGGTCAGTGTTTGTACAATCATTAGAAGGGCTGGTACTCACCTCGCTGGGATCGTGTGCGTGCTGAAGATCGAAGGACAAACCCTTGTCCTTGGCACCACCCGCAACGGAGTGGTTCTGGATTGATAAGGTAGTATTGAAGAGGGACTGTCCTTGCCAACCAAGCTCGTGTTGGATACTGGCCAAAGAGCAGCTTTGATGAGGAATGCATCTAACGTGGGCATCTTGAACATTCTTCGACACATCTGCCAAGGTCTGCCGGTCGGAGAACTGAACTCGACAACAAAGCATGTTAATAAAGATTCCAACCATGTCCTGGATGCCATTGACAGGGGCATCGCGACCGGCTGAAAGATATCCGAAACAAACGTCATCGGAGTTAGTGAACTGCCGCAGGACGATGGCCCAGGCGGACAGGGTCAGGTTGGCGAGAGTCACAGAGCTGCGCTCGCAGAACTGAAGCAGCTCAGGGAATCGCTGGAAGTTCATCATAACACCCTTTAGTTCTCTCTTGGCTTCGAAGACAGCCGATGGAGCAAGGTGGCATGGCCTAACTCCGCCCAGGTATTGCTTCCAGTGATTAAGAGCGTCACTCTGGCTCTGAGTTCTGATAAACTTGATATAGTCGCTGAAGAGAGGACCTGATCCCTCGGCGATCTTCCGCTCGTAGGCGAGAGTCAGGTCACGTAGGAGTACATCAACCGAGCCACCATCGATAATGGCATGGTTAATCTCCAGCTTGAGGATCACGCGTCCGGTATTTGTTTTGCAGACGGTCAGTTGGTGAGAAAGCTTCGATTGGCGCATGGCATTCCTATCACGAAGAGAGATGGCAGCTAACTTCTCCTCAACTTGCGAGTCTTGACATTCCACGCGGAGGATATTGTCAGAAAGGTTCTTGAGCACCAGTTGATCGAAGGATCCACCTGTGTAGTTGCTGTCGACGAAAATAGTTCGCAGCACTGGGTGACGGTCGACGAGGGCTTGCCAGGCGCGGGCGAGTCCTTCGGCATCGACCTTGCCAGATTTTGCATCCTTGATCTCAAACACAGTATGGAACATGTAGGCATTCGGATCACGGAGCTGGCTAAGCAAGAGGCCCTCCTGCATGGGAGAGCAGGGGTAGATATCCTCGACGTCATCCTTGCTCCGAATACCCGCCTTACGGAAGGTGCTTGCGGTGAGCATCTGGAGGCCGTGATAGTTGATTGGGAGGAGCGGATAGTCGCTGAGAGTGGGCTCAGGAGTAGTGGTTCTCAGTGTGAGGATATCCTTCTCGAGAGTCTGCTTGCACTGGAGAATCCAGCGGCGGATTGGGCCCTCATGTTGCATTTTGTTGTTGTAGGTAAAGGCAACATTCAAGCGGTCTTTGATTACAATAGCAGATACTTCGAAGAGGGCAAAACGAGCAGTCTGAGGGCCCATGTCGCCTGCGACAGCAAAGTCCGAGCTATCAAAGACATTGCCATGATGATGGAACAACGAATCAGCTCGCTCAAGCTGCTGCATTTTACCCAGATAGTTGAATAGGATTTCCAACGGGACAGGGAAATCCGCAGTCTGGTCCTGAAGCAGGCTTTTAGCGAAGTAAGGACGTCCGTTGTCTGCAATCTTGCGCCTGGTGTCCTTGACACGCTTGATAATGTCGGTAAGAGCACCTTCTTGCGTTAGCTTTTTGTTGGGAAGATGAGGCAGGTTGAACTTACGAGCTTCCGGATCCACTAGCAAAGGTGTCATGGTAGTAAACCAGCCAACCGTTCTGGAAAGATCAATGTCGGCTTCCCATGGTTCTCTGCCATGGCCTTCGTTGTAAATAGTCGGAACCTTGCGATCGGTGAAGGTCCGACCAAAGGAATGGACAATAGCAGACAGCAGGATGTCCACAGTGTCAGTCCGGAAGACACTGTGGCAGTCATCCATAATAAATTGGGTGATATCCTCGCTCAACGTGAAGGATTCCATCTTGATATCCCCATACACATTGGGTGAGTCTTGCATGCCCCAGTAAAGCAAGTTCGGCTTCTCGGGGGTGAAAGGCAGAGCAAGAGCAGCATCGTGCGTCTTGGCTCTCTCGGCCTGCATGGCACACCAGCTTTGGAAGGACAATGCCTTTTCGAGTGAGAGAGATCCAGAAACAACGAGCTCTTCGAGGTCCTGAAGCACGATGCGCCATGATACCATGTCAATGCAGAGATGGTGAGCGACAAGGAATAAGACCTGACCACCAGTGCGAAGGTTGAACAGGTCAGCCGCCAGTATAGGTCCATTGACAGGATCCAGGCAAGTTTGACTGTCAGCAATCTTCGGAACCATCGCCCGGGTATCGCCCACAGAGTGGACGCGGAATCGGAAGGATTCATCAACCTCCTGTGAGGATGAGTTAGAACATATTCGGGGAAGGCTTTCGAGTGAGCTTACCGCTGCGGTTTTCTGTTGCCAGGTGCCGCCATTGGATTTGCTGAAGCGTGCGCGGAACATAACATGCTGGCTAATAACAGCCTTGAGAGCGCGCTTGAGCACCTCACCCTCACAACGGCGAGCGATGCGAACAGTGATGCTCTGGTTGAATCGAGCAGTGCCCTTGAAGGAGTCCGAACACTGGAAGTAGAGCCTCTGGACAGGCGAAAGCGCGAAGCCTTCACCAGACTTCTCTTCGCGTCTAGCGACAGGTGCTTTGGCAGTAGCGGTTTGAGCAAGTGCCTTAACTGATCCGCTCTGAAGGATGTCGTGCAGTGTGAGAACAAGTCCCTGCTTGCGCGCGCGAGAAATGACAGCCATTCCAGTGATGCTGTCGCCGCCTATAAGAACCGGTTAATATGTTACCTAGGTCGAGAGGATCGTATTGGTACTTACCCAGGCTGACGAAAGAGCGGTCGACATTGACTTTTTGTAGGGAGATGTTCAACACCTGTGCGAAGATGTCGCGGACAATTTCGAGCGATCCATTCTTCACTTGTTTGTCTTGTGGCTTTTCTTCTGTCTTGCCACGCTTGATGCGATCATAATCCGCCATGATACGGTCATAGGACACATCATCAATGTCCTCAACCCAAGCAGTGATCTTCTTTCGATCAAGCTTTCCAGAAACGAGCATGGGAAGCTTCTTGATAAGAGCCCAAGTCTGCGGGACCATGTAAATGGGCAGCTGGTTCTCGAGGTTCTGCTGGACTTCGACGAGCTCGTTGTAAGCATGACGCTCAAGCTCATCCTCGTCAACAAGCTCGCATGGCTTGTCAGAAATCAGCTTTGTGTCGGCTGGAACACTGTTCAGAGACATGACAGTCACCAAGCGCTGCTTAAGTGGACCATTCTTCGGGAGAACGACGACAGCGTGGCGGGTAAGAACATCCTCAGAAAGGCGGTGCTCAATCTCACCCAGCTCCATCCGCTGGCCATGCAATTTGACCTGGTGATCCTTCCGGCTGATGTACTGAACAGAACCATCAGGGTTGTAGTAGCAAAGATCGCCAGTTTTGTAGATTCGGCGGGGACCAGGGACCGCGGGCGTGAAGTCCTTGATCCAGGCAGGGTCCGTGGTGAATGCTTCTGCATTTTTCTCGGGGTTCTTGAGGTACTCCCGAGCCAAGGGAGCGCCTTCAAGTGCAAGTTCGCCGACTGCTCCCAGGGGGGCAAGCCGATCGTGGTTGTCGGGGTCAACAATCCAAGTAAGAGTACTAGGAATACCATAACCGATACGACCAGGATCACGGTTGGTAGCGACCGCATTATCAATCACTGCAAAGACACACGTCTCGGTCGGTCCGTACCCATTCATAAGGTGGACAGCATTAGCCCACTTAGTGATGACTTCATTGGACATCTTCTCACCACCGCAAACAAGGTGCTTCAAGCAAGGCACCGAGGATGGCTCAATTATACTGGCAATTGAGGGAGTGAGGAAAGTCCAAGTGACATTGAGTCGACGGATGGCACCGGCAACATCATTCAGACGGTCGTCTTCGCTGGGGACACAGATTGTACCTCCGAGCATGAGAATTGCAAGCGTCTCCATAACAGCGGCATCGAAAGTGAGAGAGGCGAATTGGAATACTCTCGAGGTCTGGTCCATGCGAACCCACGGCGCGAATGCCATAATACTGCTGACCACATTGCGATGCTCGACAATAATTCCCTTGGCTCGACCAGTGCTGCCAGAAGTGAACAGAGCATAAGCCATATTGGAGGGCTTGACTTCAGTGTGGCGACGGCCAGATGACTTCAGAGCGCCATAGGCCTTGATCGTATCCTTGCTGATGGGGATAACAGTCTTGACAACTCGGCTGTAGCGGTTTGTGTAGTTAGGAGTGCACAGTATCATGTTGGCACCGACATCAGCGAGAATTTCCTCGTGTCTCGAGGTAGGGTGGGAGGGATCCAAAGGCACATACCCACCGCCAGCGATGAGCACACTGATGAGGGTAACCATTGCCCAAGCTGACTTGTCCAAGCAGACTGGAACAAAGACCTCTGGGCCAACTCCGCGAGAGACCAGGTAGTTGGCGAAGCCAGATGCCAGGTCCCAGAATTCTCTATAGGTGAGGTCGCCATCCCAGGCACACACAGCCTGAGCGTTTGGAGTCGCATCGCACTTCTCACGAATGAAATCCTGAACAGTCCGTTCCACCGTGAGCGGAATGCGTTCGTTCCATGTACCAATTTCAGCTTTATCTTCGGGGCTTATCACCTCCAAGTCTCCAAGCTTGCTCGCGCTGTTCTTGGGCAGGGCAATCAATTGCTGCAGAACATGCGCAAATTGCTCAGTGATGCGCTTAGTCTGCCATCCGTTGATGACGAGCTCATCGTGGTGCACAGTGAATGAGATGCTGGTCTTGGTAATACCACATTCGACAACAAGGGGGTGGGTGAAGAAGTCTTCGCTTGTTTCACGTTTCTCATCAATCCAGATCTTGTTGTCAAGTTCACCGTCGCCTGGCTGGATCACGAGCAAGTTCTTGAAATCGCAGCCTGTGGCAGTATCCTTGTTCAGCTGGCGGATACGTTGCAGACCAGAGTGCAAGTGTGGGATCATGTCGGTGGTAGACTGATGGATCTTTTGTAAGTACTCCATGGTAGACGAGGTATTGTCAACCTGGACACGGGTGGGGACAGTGGTCAAAACAGGACCAGCAATGTCTGCGACACCAGGAAGATCGATGTTTCGGCCCGACAAAGTCTCACCAAAGCAGACATCACCAGATGCAGTGTGGGTTGCAATGACGATTGCCCATGCAGCGCGCATGAGGACAGGGATCGTAAAGTCCACGCTGTTGCGAGAGCGGGAAACCTTCATTGTGTGGTGCTGGGTGTTTCCAGCACGCATGGCATCAGGCAGAGCATTTTTGTTGTGTGGGAAAGGAGTGCTGGACAGGTCTGTCAAATAAGACTTCCAGAAAGCGTCAGACTCCTCCATGTCCTTCTTGACTAGGTAGTCGATGAACAGACTGTAAGGCGTGCCAGCACGCTTGGTCTGTGAGGCAAAGTAGTTCTCTTCAACCTTGCGGAATACCAAGGGGATACTCCAACCATCATAAAGGGCGTGATGAACGGACCAAATGAAGTAGCTATCAGAAGATCCACGAGGCTGCACAATGGCGTAACCAGTGAGAGGTGCTCCATTTTGCTTGGGGAGATGAAGGAAGTCGTTCGGCAAAGCATCGAATGACTCTGCTTCGACCCAGGAGATGGGGCCATCCTTCAGGACAACTTGAGCAAAGTTCATGGCCTCGGTGTGGACAATACGAGTGCGAAGGATTTCCAAGTCAGCCACTGTTTGTTGCCAGGCCTCTTTGAATTTACCGACATCTATGCCAGGAGCAAGACGGAACGATGGCTGAGCAACGTAAGCACCATTGTGTTTAATAGAGAGGGTCAGAAGACCCTCTTGCACAGCACTGCAGGGGTAAATATCGCTGACAACGTCCTCGGATACTTCGCAGTTGTCGGTGACCTCATCCATCACGTTTTCGAGGGAAATCCCAGAGGGTAGGAGAGAGAACGACTTGGTGTTTTCTTTCTTAACTTCACAAGATGCATCAGATACGACACAGCTCTTTGCCATGTCGATCAAGATTGGAGAATTGAAGATGCTCGAGACAGTAAGGGCGATGCCCTCTGCCTGAGCAGCGCCGACGAGGTTCATGGCGGACAAGGAATCACCACCGAGACCGAAGAAGCTGTCATCGGCTGTCACAGAGCCAGCTTCAAGGTCGAGTGTCTTTTCCACCAGTGCCACAAGCTGAGTCTCGAGGCCAGTGGCCAAAGAAGCCTCCCTTTTGTCGGAGGTGTTGAAGGTAATATATGACTTGAGAGTCTCCTTTGACAAGGACTGGACCATAGCCCGCAGTCTTCGGCGATCGATCTTTCCGGAGGAAGTGAAGGGGAGGTTGCGGATAGGGAAGAAGAGTCTGGGCATCATACTCTGAGGCAGAAGTTCGGGCAGAGAACCCTTTAACTTCTGAATAGCGTCCATGTTCGACACAGAGATCGGCAGTAGAAGTGGATCGGCACCAGAAATTGTGGGGGCGAATTGATCGCTGCTCCCACCATTCGAATTTGGGTCATGGACGGTGAAAAATGCGGCGAGGCCCTTGGCAATGGTCCGTTCCTCGGGAACAACGACATCAACAGCGACCTGAGAGTCCTCGGGCAGGCAGCGCAAACATTGTTGTTCGATCTCCTCGAGTTCAATTCGCTGGCCATTGAACTTGATCTGAGTGTCTTTGCGGGAGATGAAGGCTAGACTGCCGTCGCTGTTATAGCGAACCAGATCACCAGTGCGGTACATGCGATCATTTCGCTTGAACACGCCCTGCAAGCCAGAGTGACGGTTCCAAGTAGGGTTCTTGAAGAAAGAGGCCTTGGTTTTTTCCTCGTTGCCAAGGTATTCACGCGCAATGTTACTTCCTTCAAGAATCAGTTCACCGACTCCGCCAACAGGCAGAAGACGATTGGAGTTACTCGGATCCACAATCCAGGCTCTACAGTTTGAAGATGTTCCAATCGATGTAGGATCATCATTAACACGGTTACCATCCCAATCGACCTTGACACCAACTGTAGCAACGACAGTGGCCTCGGAGGGACCATAGGCATTGATGACGCACCGGTCGCCCCAGCGGTCAATGTGGTTGGCGGGCATCTTCTCGCCTCCTGTGATAATTACCTTGAGGGTGGGAACGTTCTTCGGCTCTAGGGTGTTGACAATGGCAGGAGGTGCCGAGATGAAGGTGGCTTCCATGCGGCGAATGGCACCACCCAGGTTGTTCATACGTTCCTCTTCACTTGGGATACAGACACAACCACCAGTCATGAGGACCATCATGATCTCTAGGATGCTGACGTCGAAGGTGTAGTTAGAGAATTGCAAAGCACGTGTTGTGGAGTTCATGTGGAGGGAATCGCTCATAGCAATCGCGGTAGTGCTAAGGGCAGTATGCTCGACAACAGTTGCTTTCGGCTTTCCGGTAGTACCAGAGGTGAAGATAGCATATGCAGCATTTTCCGGAGTAGGACGAACACCAGCTAAAGCCAAGGGCGAGTCAGGAAGTTGAGAGATTGAAGTCTGGCAGACAGCGAACGATTTCGCGCAGAGCTTCGAAACTTTGGTGTGGAGTGAAGAGGAGCACAACACAAGGCTGGTGCCAATTTCATCAATAAGCATCTTCAATCGGGAATCGGGGTGAGATGGGTCAATCGAGACGAATGCTCCGCCGGCCTTGAGAACAGCCAGCTGAGCTACGACAGCCCAGGCTGACTTCTCGAAACACAGCACCACGAAGCCCTCAGGCTTGACTCCAAGACTTGAGAGATGGCGAGCCAACCGACTGGAGACAATCTCAAGCTGCCCGTAGGTGAAATTCTTGTCCCAGGAGCAGACGGCTTCTGCGCGGGGGTGCAGGAGGGCCTGCTGTTGAATGAGCTCGTCGGCGCACTTCTCTACTCGTGGAGGGGATGCGGCATTCCAATCACGGATTTGGCGAACGGAGCGCTCGGGGAATATATTGAGGTCCCCGATGGTACGGCCACCGAGATTGTGGACAATCACATCATCCAAAACCTGCTCAAACATATCCATGACATGATTGACCTGGAAGGAGGAAAGGGATTCTGAGGAGTAGTTGAAATGGACCTGGGCGTGGGAGTGCGAGACTTCAGCTTCGACCAAGATCTTGTAAGCACTGGAGCTGATTGGTTCACGGGTGTTCGCTTTGGGGAGATTCGAAGCCATGTGATAAATCAGGGAGGTGTTGAAAAGCATTGTATCATCCAGTCCAAGCTGGTGTTTAACAGCGTGCAAAGGAGCGACGTTCAATGCCCTGTTCTCGGAGTCCTTCTTTGCTTTTCCGAGGGTCTCTTGCAGCTTTTGCTCGTTCTGCACGAGGAAGCGGCAGGTGGCAATACCTTCAGCCTCCGATTTAGTCGCCGAAGCTGAGGCAGAATACCCAAAGCACACGTCGTCTGAGCCGGTGTACCACCGGAGGACAACAGCCCAGGCAAACTGGAAGAGATTTTCCACAGGAAGGCCAGACATTCTGCTGAAGGCGTGGATTTTAGCTGTCTGCTTGTTGAGCGTGCGTTTGGAGCGGGTATTGTCGCTTGCCCCATGGACGAGTGCCGGGAAAATACAGGGCTCAACATCGGCAAGGTACTCCTTCCAGAAAGCCACATTGGCTTCGGAGAGGCTAGCATGCCGAGAAACGCGGTGGCTAGCCTTAGATCCATTCCAATGCTGGATCTCAAAAGCCTCAATAACACTGCTTGGAAGCGCTTGTGTTTCGGTTTTGAGGGCCTGGCGGTTTAGCTTTCCACATAGGGTCAAGGGGAGGGAAGAAATGGGGATATAGAAACTCGGAACCTTACTACCAGGAAGACTGGTACTCAGATTGGCGTGCAGGCTAGAAACAGCGTCTTTGAGTTGAGCAGTGGCGGACTGGAGGACGCGATCTCCGAAAGTGACGGGGTTGGTATCTGAAGAAACCACGAAAGCAACAAGAGCATTGGTCTTCACATTATCGCGTAGCAGCTGCACACTCTCCACAACGCACTTCCGCTTGTTGTCTAGGAAGGAATCAACGCGAGCCTGAGTTTGAATAAGCTCACTCGCCAGGGCGGATTCCTTCTTATCGCTCTTGCGACCAACAAAAACGAGAGAGCCATCTGACTTGTACCGAACAAGATCTCCGGTCTTGAAAAGGCCATATTTACCCCCATCTCGATTTCCAGAAAGCCAAGAAGCATTGTCAAAGAAGTCTACGGTCTGAACGAGCTGTTCGTCAAGGTAGCCGCGGGCAAGAACAGGACCTTCGAGAACCAGCTCCCCAACACTGCCGATCGGAACGAGATAATCGTGGTTGGAGGGATCAACAACCCACGAAACACAAGAAGTGCTCTTTCCAATAAGTCCAGGTTCGTTTTCATCCTGGGAGCAGAAAACGTGGAAGGATGCAGCCGAGCTCTCACATGTTCCATACAAGACCTGGACCTGGAGGTCATCGGTCTGCCAGTGGTCAAGAACGCTCTGTGAAACAACTTCGCCGCCCAACGCGATCGATCGCATTCCCGGAACATCCTTGGGTGAGAAGAAGCTTGCGGCAGTCGGGGTGATGCTAGCAACATTAACATGGAATGCGTTGATAGAAGCGGCTAAGGTGACGGGATCAATATCAGCCGGGATACAAATGCAACCACCCCACATGAAAGTGCCGAATGTCTCCACGATGAATGCATCGGATGTGTGCGTTGCGAACTGTAGGGTCCTAGAGACATCGGCAATCGCCATCGTTGTAGCGAATGCCTCGGCTCGGGTCATAACAGTTGAGTGGTCAAGGACCACACTCTTAGCCGGGCCCGAGGTGCCGGCACTCATAGCAACGTATGCGATGTCGGATGGTTTTGCCATGGGGTTAAGGACCTCGTCGGCGAGGTACTCGAGAAGAGACTCGCTTACAGGGATGACGTACGGCACGGCATCCTCAAGAACCTGAGCCTTCTCCGGGGCAGCCAGAGCGACTTGGACGGCGTTGTCGACAATCCACTTCTCAACAAGCGTGAAACTCTCAGGTGTGGCAACTGGAATACAGCCACCACCGGCTTTCATAATTGCCAAGGTGGAGACGATGTTCCACACAGATTTTTCGAAGCAAACGGGGATTAGGGTTCCAGGACCGACGCCGAAGGTGACAAGATAGCTTGCCAAGCGGGAGGAAAATTGATCCAGCTTCGAGTAAGTCAAGTTCCCATCCCAAGCGGTGACGGCCAATGCATCAGGGCGCTTCTTGGCCATCTCTTGGACAACCTGATGGGCGCACTTCTCAAATGGCTTGGGTGTCTTGCTGTTCCAAGCCATAATCTGGGCTCGGTTTTCGTCGCTCAAGTTGTCTAGCTGGCGGAGTTCACCGTCAATGTTTGACACAATGTTCTCGAGGCAACGCAGATAGGTGTTGGCTACATTGGCAGCTTGTGAATCAGAGAGGTTGGTAGTCCAGTAGTTGAGGTCGATGCGAGCGGTAGTGTCCATTGCCTCGATGTTAATGAAAACTGGGAACTCAGCGGGATCGTGGATTGAGCCAACCTCAACACACTCGATATCACTGCTAACAGCGTCTTTGGAACTGGGAAGACGGCGGTAGGAGACACCAGAATTGAACAAATTGGTGTCTGAAAGCTTCAGAGCATGCTGAATGTCAATGAGGGAAGTGTGACGGTAAGCAAGGCTCTCCACGTAGTCATTCTGAATTTGATGCAGCACATCACTGAGCTTTGCATCATCTGCAACCCTCATACGGCAGACTAGAAGGTTGATAACTGGTCCAATGACCCACTGGACGCCCTCAGCAGACACATCACGCAGGGATGCCATGTAACTGAATGAGACATCGTCAGATCCACAGAAGGCGCGAAGAGTGAGGCCCCAAGCGGCATTGAAGACATTCGCAAGAGTAATTCCGCGCTTCTCGCAGACAGTCTGCAGTTCATTGAGTGCTCCAAAGTTGACCGGAATGGAGCGGAGTGCCTTCGCAGACTGTTGACCGTCAGTAAGAGCAGGGAAGTGGCAGGGCTTGGCTTGGTCCAAGTACGAGCGCCAATAGTTGATGCTGGCCTCCTTTGGCGCATCCTGGAGGTACTCCATGTAATCCTTGAATAACGGCTGAGGGGTTTCCTCAAGTCTACCAGCGTACGCGAGCTGCAAGTCACGGAGGATGATTGAGATAGAGTTACCGTCCATCGCAGCATGACTCATCTCAATGCGAGCAAACAGCCTGCCACTGGGTGTCTGGCAAATAGTGAAGCGGTAGGCTGGTGTGGCCTCGCTGTAATCCTTGGGGTCTTCCTTGTCAAATGTGGCAATAACATCACTTTCCCCGGAAGACTGCAAGAACACTGGAGTGGCATCGTAGCTCTTCAGTACGACCTGGCAGAAGGGGTCCCGAGGAGTGAGGTTCTCAACAAAGATGGTGCGGAACATCGCATGACGAGAGACAACCTGCTGCCATGCATTGACCAAGCGATCGAGATTCGGCTCGCTAGATCCGGTAGCCTTAATCTCAAAGGTGTCGTGGACAGCGTAGTAGGAGCTATCACGCTTGCGACCAAGGAGGATACCCTGCTGCATGCGAGAGCAAGGGTAGATATCCTCAACAAGGTCCGGGGAAGCAATACCGATAGCAGGCAACTTCTCGTTGAGCAACTTCTCCAGGGTTGGGTAGGTCAACGAAAGCATTGGGAATGAGCTGAGTGTCAAACGCGGGCCCAGGGAAGGAAGCTGTTCAGCGAGAGTCACCAGCAGCTTCTGGCATTCAGAAACCCATCTGTGGATACGATTCTGGTGCTGCATAAACCTATTGAAGGAGAAGTTGAATCGAACCTTTCCAGCAACGACCATCGCGGAGATTTCAAACAAACCAAAGCGGGGAGTATCGGTTCCAAAGTCAGCGGCACCGCCTCCTTGGCCAGCTTCTCCAGCCATCTGATCAACAAGCTGGAAGACACCATCCTTTCTCTGCAGATCTCGATGTTGGCCTACGTAGTTGAACGACATCTCGAAGGGGTGTGGGTGCTCAGATTGACGGTTGCCCTGGGCTGGCAAAACTCTGCTGGTGAAATCCGCGCGACCATTGTCCGAGACACGGCGGCGAAGATCCTTCACCTGGATGAGGGTATCTATGGGGTTACCTGCGTTGTATGCGGACAAGAAGATAGGGTGCAGAATGGTGAACCAGCCGACGGTGTGCGAGATATCGATGGACGGGTCCCAAACTTCTCGTCCGTGACCTTCATTGTAAATAGTTGGAAGAGAACGATCGGGAAAGGCTCGGCCAAATGAGTGGAGCATTGCTGCGAGGAAGAGGTCAATTGGCTCCGTGCCAAGAGCTTTGTGACAATCAAGGAGGATGGCATTGGTGTGGGCTGGGTCGATCTCAAACGATGCACAATCCACATCGCCATATGTGGTTTGCGTGTCCTTAAGCCCCCAGTAACCAAAGTCAGGTACTGCGAGAGCGTCAGTTGCAACTTTACGCTCAGTCCGGAGCGTTTTGCAGTGCTCATTCTGCAGGCGGCACCAGGTCTGGAAAGGCAAGGAGGCATCACTGGTTCCTGTCTTCTTGGGGTTTAAGATGATGTCTTCCAAATCTTCCAGAATGATTCTCCAGGAGACAATGTCAACAACCAAGTGATGAGCTGTCATGGACAGGACATTAGGCTGGCCCTTTACCAAGAAATAATCGACTGCCAGCAAGGGCCCAGAGAAGCAGTTGATAGAAGATTGGCTGTCAGCGACATGGATCTTGACCTCATCCATGCTGCCAAGAGTATGCATCCGCCATCTGTAGGATCCCTTAATATCCCGAGTGATATGTTGACTGGATGCTGTCGCGAATCCCGTGTCCGTGAATCGTGCGCGGAGCATTGAGTGGCGGGATATCAGAGTTTCGACCGCCTTGCGGAGGGTTTGCTCGTCGACAGGTTTGTTCAAACGAGTGAGGATTCCTTGATTGAAGTGGCCTTGGCCCTCTTTGCGTACACCAAAATGGAGGGTCTGGATGGGTGACAAGCTAAATGGCTCATCAACAGCTTCTTCATAAGTCGTAAGGTGATCGATTGTCTTTGCACGAGTTGCGAGGTCGCGAATTGATTTGCTGCGCAGCAGCTCCTGTACAGAGAGAGAAAACCCGCGCTTCTTGCAAAGACCAATGCATGTCATAGCCGCGATCGAATCACCACCGAGGGCGAGGAAGCCCTCGTTCAAGTCGAGCTGGTTCCGGGGAATGTTGAGGACACGGCTATATACAGCAGCTAAAGCCTCCTCTCTGTCGTTGGCGGGCTGAGATGCCTCCGTGCCGACGATTGCGGCAGAGGCATTGTTCTGAAGATCTGGGTCGTTTTCCATACCTGCGACCCAAGTGGAAATACCCTTGCGGTCTAGTTTCCCTGATGGCAGAAGTGGCAGCGCTTCAACACACAACCAAACCGCAGGGACCATATAGGTAGGGAGACGAGCTGAGAGTCGCTCTCTGATTTCAGGGACAAGCTCGGCCTTTTTCGAGGCGGAGACGAGTCTTAGAGGCTCCAGGTCCGAATCGGACTGTTCCGCAAGCAAGCCAGTAGAAGAGACAACTGCCGCCAGTCGTCCCTTGGAGAAACCAGTCCTGGGGAAGAATACAGAGCAATGGGTAACGTTCAGATCTTTGCTCAGCTGATTCTCAATTTCGCCGAGTTCGATTCGCTGTCCGTGAACCTTGACCTGCGTATCCTTGCGGCCGATGTAATTCAAGGCACCAGTGTCGGAGTTGTACCTGACTAGATCACCTGTCTTGTAGAATCTACGGTTAGAGCCACTTTCAGGGTCCAATGTAGTCCAAGCAGGGTCATAGATGAACGATTCGTTTGTCTTTTGCGGATTATTCACGTAGCACCGGGCCAGGGGTGGGCCTTCCAAAAGTAATTCTCCAGGGCAGCCCACGGGCACCAGTTCATCGTGGTTATCAGGGTTGACAAGCCAAGTTCTCACACCAATAGGCAGGCCGATATCTTTACAATCGGTGTCAGGTGTAACATTAGAATTCAGCACAGATGCCACACTAGCCTCGGTAGGTCCATAACCATTGACCAATTTGATTTTGGACCATGTAGTCAGCTGTGACTGCGACATTGCCTCGCCGGCCAGGACTAAACTCTCCAGTCCTGGAACACTCTCGATTTCAATAAAGCCGATGAATGAGGGCGTGAAGCACGCTTGGGTGACTCTCATCTCGTTGATGGTGGTCACAATATCGTTGAGTCGAGCTTCCTCACTCGGAATACACACACATGCACCATGAATGAGGGGCGTCAACGACTCAGCCAAACTGGCATCGAAGGTGTGGGCGGCGAATTGGAGGCATCGCGACTCGCGATAAATCCGCAAACCGGGTCCATGCACCATTGCCCCAGACAGGAACGCGCGGTGCTCCAACAGGGTTCCCTGCAAAGACAAGAGTGAGCTCCTGCAAAAAAAATGTATACATATATTTTTTTTAATTTCAATAAAAGACTCACCTTGGGCTCTCCTGTTGATCCGGAGGTAAAGAGAACATAAGCCGCATTTTGACTGGTGACACCGGACGCCAGATTGACATTCTCGGCGGGGTCTGACAGAGGATCTAGAGTATCAGCACAGAGAGGTATTACAGTCTTCACTATCGGACGAAGTTTATCGGCCAGATGGTGAGAGGACAGTACAACCGGTGCCTGAACCGATTGGATGAGAGCTTGCAGTCTGGAAGTTGGGTGAGTCGGGTCCAATGGGACGAAGGCTCCGCCGGCTTTCATAACGCCAAGCATTGCGACAATGTTCCATTTCTGTGGAGTCAGTATACCACAACTTAAATATTCAGGCAATTGATTCATGAAACAATCTTTCACATACCGATTTATCGAAACACAAGCCCACGCGGACTTCCGGACCGACTCCCTGCATACGAAGATGGCATGCAAGCTTTGACGCTTGCTGATCCAACTCGGCGAACGTCAAACTGCCATCCCACGCACACACAGCCTCACGATCGGGCCCGCTCAACATCTGATCGTGGATGGCTTCGTGAATGCAGCGATCGTGGAGTTGTGGAGGGGTGGCGTTCCACTTGCGGATGCGTTGCCAGTCGTTCTCTGAGAACAAATTAAGCTGGCTAATAGCGGTGTTCTCAGCAGAAAGGATTTTGGCAAGCAACTGCTCAAAAATGCTTGCGATACTCTTCATTTGTTCCCCGGACATGTCACCCTTGCGCCATTCTAGGAAGATGCTGATGTCTCCACGCAGCACCTTAACATGAAGACGGACTTGGCACTGCAGATTTTTAGCCAACTTGATTCTGGTGTAAAGGGAGAATGGCCATATCCAATTCATGGCGGAGTGAACGTACCTCGTCGGGAAGAGCTGTGGCCAAAATGGGTTTTGAAGGAGAAGCAGGCGGGTCGTATGTGCGCAGCATGAAGATGGTGTTGAAGGGGAGATATCCCTCGGAAGCATCCTCCGAGCTTCCATTGGCCTGACTATTCGCACTGTTTGCGCGCACCTTATCTACAATTGCCGTGAGTGAGTCGTTGTCGTTGATGGATATGCGGATCGTCGAAATGTTGACGCCGGTAGAACGCTGTACAGATGATTTGGGGGCGCGCGAGTCGCCCTCGAGATGTTGGTAACCGAAGCAAATATCCTCGGAGCGGATATAGTAATGCAACAAAAGAGCCCAAGTGGCTCGAAGCATTGGGTCCAGACGGCCTTCGTTCCATGCGGTTAGCAACTGCGCATGTTGAGCAGGCGTCGGCCTCGTCTTCATCGAGACTGGGCGTTTAGGCCCGTCAACCGTCGAAGCGAACCGGGGAAGATAGCACTTGGTGGATTGAGCCATGACGTCTAATGGCTTAGTATTACCAGTCTGATCTTCTGTGTGTCGTCTCGTTTTTTCCGGTCGATGGAGATATGTATGGGCCTAAGGTGTGGAGAATGAACGACAGTATGAATTCGACGTTCAAGAGCCCTCGCGAACTCGGACGGTCTCGTCTTATTTTAAAGAAAGTAAGTACAGCTTTTTTTTTTTTTTTTTTGAAAAAAGTATTATTTGCTAAACACCTCCAAAATAGCTACGTCCGGCCGGAGACTGCATGGGCCACACTTCTCCAAAATCCAGTAATAGGCGCTATATTCCTTGCATGGGATCTAGATGGAAGGGAGAGGGAGGGAGAGAAACCATACGTGGATCAGGTGTGCTTGGCCCCCCCCTGTGGAACCAACTCAGACACTTTTTCTACATTTTTCTTTTTTGTTTTTCCTGGTTTTTTATTTCCGATAGAATTGCTATGTCAAAATCTCTTATTTTCTATTTTGGACCAAGGTATCCCTTGGAAATGGACTAGCTTACTGGAACTAGTACCAAAGGGTCATCATGCAGACGAATCGTTCCCATTCTCTCTGTCTCTCTGTGTACTCCGGAGCACCCTCCGGAGTACTGCTATTCCAAGCGAGATGCAATTCCCCCGATCAGGAACCCTTGCAGTCTGGAACGTGGGCGTAGCGGTTCAGAGCATCCCGTCAGGGGCGTGAGGCTTTTTAGCCCCGAATCACGATTAGATTGAATGGCGTTATCTTCTACACGGTGTCTCTTCCCCCTCGGGCTTACAAGGTTTCAATGCTGACATTGCTGGCTCTGCTGGGCGTGTCAAGCGCGCTCAGTGCAAGCTCGCGAACAGGTACATGCCCAGAGAGAATAATACCCCATACCCTCACTTCATACTGCGGATATAGGGTTTTGCTTCCCCAGTGCATCAGGCATCGCCACAGGTATACGAGCCTCGTGAGGCTGTCATAGTTTACGGTGTACACCGACTGATGCACACATGGCACTGACCCCGGACTCTACTTGCTCCCAGCTCACCTCTACTTTGGGAGCTCTGGTGATGGGGGCGCATGGCGTGGAGATCCGACAGCTGGGGTCTGCATCAGTAAGGTGTGGCGAGCTAGGACGGGTCGAACGAGGATTTACCGCGCAGTTTTCAGGCACTACCGCAGTGAGGTTGTAGTGGAGGTGGCGATCCCGCGATCCCGTCTGGTGATCACGATGAGTAAAGTTAATTTGCTAGGATCCGACACAATCGTGTCTTAGCTGCCTTTCTGAGCGATATCTGAGGTATAGAATGTTATTTAGGAGTCAAGCGAAAACTCAAAAGAACGGTGGGTTGTGGGGGGAGCAACTCCCCGAGCTGATGTTATCACGCCCTTCATACATCGGATCTCCCGGTCGATAAATCCGAATATTACAGGGGTAGATATGACTAGCATCGGAGGAATGCTCGGTTAAAAATGAAATCTTATTGGATCTAAAGTATCATTCGATCTCAGAAATTAAATTTGAGGTAGTTTGTAGAAATTCTTACAAAGTACGGAGTATGGAGTACGAAAGTACGTCGATGTAATCTAATATGTAAGACACACAGTACGCTAATGATCGCTCTGCAAGGGCCACCAAGGGATGCGGGCGTAACCGAACCCGGCGACCTGTCTAGTTGGCGTTTATTTATATATTAGTCACATCCACACCTTCAATAGCTTACATTATGGAGCAGTAAAGAAAATTGGGATTTTATAAATTCTACAAAAAAAAAGTGGGAATATCGGTTACAGTTCCTTATGATATCCAGTCGCATCAAAACATGGATTGATGTGATGCAGTATGTGCGTTGCTTTTTCTTCTTCACGTTTGCTTTTCTTTGCTTTTTTTTCTATTTTTTTTTCTTCATAAATTTATCGTTTTCGTATAATCACCAATTGGGAACGTACGTTTGTATATGTCCACTATTCTCACTAGTCAAGACGTGACGTGAATTGAAGTGACTGCATGTACGATGTACCTATAGGGAGGTGCGATTTTCTAGAGATCCACACATCAAAGGCCGACATGATTGGGCTTTGGCACGAAATGAGATACACAAACTAGTTGACACTTATGACCGGCTAACCTGACGGGCTAAACTAGTGCCCGCAGTTTGGGGTCGATTGTCAACTAAAAATGCAGAAACTTGACAGGTTGATCGCCTTGTCGATCACTGGATAGATCACTTTATAAATTTCGGCACACTCGGGGCTTCTAAAGTTAGAGTAAGATACGTTTCCAGATTAGGTACAGAGTATAGACATAAAGAAGCACAAAATATACACAATATACGGAATACCGAAATGTCTCAACCTATGTAGGTACGTAGGATAATTTGGAATCAACTGCACATGTGAGCACGAATGTACATCGGTGGATATCATTATGCACAGGATTTGCCACACATCGACCACGCTTCTAATTCCAAGACAAGGGCAAAGAGAAAGGAAAGAGGAAAAAACCGGCTTACCCTAGTCAGTTCGGCTCCATCGGGGGCGGTTGTTCGTCAGGCACTATAGCGGTACCTAGGTAGGTACAGATCCCGACTCATGCACATTGGCTCAGCGACCGCCACGCGAACCACAACACGTCGTAGAATATGCAGAATTTCAGGATTGGCCGCCAGGATTGAAATTAGGAAGGCCGATGACAACCGAAAACCCCGAAAGGATTCAGTGTGGACCATAACTAACAGTTTAGTCAAAAGGAACGATTGGCCCGGATGAATCGAATTGTGAATCCCTACCGCCACTACCGAGTCAATAGAAGCAAAAAGAAAAAAAGAAAAGAAACGCCATGACAGGTGGAGTTGGAGATTTGGAGCTTCGATTTTGAGCAATTATAATCGCAACGAGAACTAGCAGAAACCAGTTGTAATCTATATCTCATTCGTTAGATTTAGTTTCTCCGAATGTGGAAGATCCAAGCGATTTGCTTCACCGCGTCAGCTTCTGCGGTCAAGCAGAGTTTATGAGATATATATATATAATATAGTTATATATATATATGTATCTATATATCCATACATGTAATGTGAGTTTGGAAGAGTAAGAATAAGAATAAGAATTTTATTTAATTACGTTATATATTAAATTCAAATAAATTAACCAAATAATGTTTCAAGCCCAACGCGGCAGATCTCCCATCATACATCTGGAGGCTTTCCTCCCTCACATGAGGGGAAAGTCATTTCTGTGCCCTAAGTCCACACGAGATTTGGCCCACCATGCACTCAGGATTCGCCATTGCAACCCATTGGAGGTAATTTGAACTCATTGGAATCTAATTATTTTATTCCTGCAAGGTAACACAACTCCCTCGTGTTGCTCGGGATTTACTCAAGGTTTCCTTGCCTCCAGGGGCGAGTGGATCGAGCGCTGCCACTGGTATCCCCCACATCCCCAAGGGGGGCAAGGCACCTATGCCGTAATTTGACTTGAAAATCAGGACTACTATTGCTGACTGAAGTGGAGTTATGAAATCACAGTGCAATCTCCAAGGTTTTATAGAGAGACAAAAGAAAAGAAATGGAAAAAAAAAGAATATCCTAAAAACGATGAAAATAAACCAAAATACATGCAGCTGGATGGATCCATACACACCTAGTCCAAGTCTAGATGAGCTCACAGGGCATTGCCAGTAATAGCAGTGTAAGATGGCTGCATCAAGTGTTGTATTCATGCCCACTTTGATGCAGCCAACCAGTAACAGGGTCATAAGGGTGAGCTCAGGGTTGTAGTTCTCCTAGATGTAATGAACTCCTGCCTAGAGGGATACGGACCTCGATTAGCCCTATGTACCTTTTACTGTGAATGTCTTAGTAGTCAAGCGGACTATACTTTTTGGTCACTTTCTGATGCATCTGATGTAGACCAAAAAGCCGCAACTTCCCCGAGCTAATGCAAGTTCTTTTCTAACCATACACTCTTTTGAATTCTAATTCCCCGTGCCACTCGTTTACAGTCTTTCTTTTCTTCAACCATCCTTCTGTCGCCAGGTGGTTCAAGAAACAGACATGACATCCTCTCGCTCTTCAGGGCCTTCGTGCCACGATCTAGATAACACCCTCCGTATTGACGCTGGGTCATGTCGGGGAGGATTCGATTTCTCTCTTTTGTTTGAGGAGACCATCCTCCAGATTTTACCTATTTTATTAATCCTAATCCTTATTCCTGTTCGTCTCTGGCAACTCTCACAAAAACGAAACAAAGTTGTGCCATCGTGGTTGGTCCTCGTCAAACTTGTAAGTTGACTGTCTTGCGATAATCTGCTTTCTGCAGTTCGCATGCAACCCCGCGAGCCCCGTGATCTTTGGAATCGGTGAACTATCCATTCTGGGAACTGTCATCTAATAACCATTTGTGAACAGGGAGCTTGGTTCAACCTGCTAGGTCTTCAAATTGCACAAACGGCCTTATGGGCCCTTCCAGCAGCTGACAGCACCAAGGCCTCGGTTCCAGCCAATGTGATCTTGACAATCGGCGTACTCGCTCTCGCTCTGCTTTCTTATGCAGAGCACACGCGCTCTGTGCGACCCTCCTTCATTTTGAACACCTATCTTTTCTGCAGTTTGCTTTTCGATATTGCACGGTCTAGAACTCTATGGCTACGCAGTGCGGACGCCTTTAATAATACCCTGGCCATTGTCGCTACAGTAGCGGTGGGTGTCAAACTGCTTCTTTTTGTGCTTGAAGCTGTGGAGAAAAGACATATTCTCAAATCAGAATATGCCGGTTACCCTCCAGAAGCGACTGCGGGTTTCTATAACCGCGCCGTGTTCTGGTGGTTGAACCCACTGTTCAAGATCGGTTTCACTGGAGTCCTACGTGTAGAGGATCTCTTTGCATTGGATAAAGAACTGAGCTCTGAGCGCTTACTGGCCCGATTTGATGAGAAATGGAGCAAAGGTAATTACCCGTCCCGGCAATATGGACTTTTTCTAATTACCTTAACTAACATTTCTTCAGTGACAACTAAATCCCCGAACACTCTCCAATGGGAGTCAATCAAGGCTGTGAAATGGCCGTTGCTTGCAGGTGTCCCTGCCAGAGCCTGCGTCGTGGCCTTCAATTTCTGCCAGCCTTTGCTCCTGGAGAGATCGCTCTCTTTCTTCAATTCACCCGTTAATCAGGGTACCCAAAATATTGGATATGGACTCATTGGCGCCTATATCATGGTTTACGCCGGACTCGCCGTTTCAATGGGCCAGTATCAGCACCTTACGTACCGTGGGATTACCATGGTTCGTGGTGTTCTTGTTACAATGCTATACAAGAAAGCCAGCTGCCTGGGCCTCGGGGAGACTGATCCCGCCAACTCGCTTACTTTGATGAGCGCCGATGTCGAGCGCATCACAGCCGGATGGCAGACCATGCATGAAATCTGGGCGAACTCGGTTGAAATCGCTTTGGCTATCTATCTTCTCAAGATTCAACTCGGGATTTCCTGTGTTGTTCCTGTTTGCGTCGCTCTGTTTGCTCTGGTTGGATCGTTGGTCGGCATGTCCTTTGTTGTCGCACACCAAGCCAAGTGGTTGGAAGCTATCGAGAAGCGCATTTCCTCTACTTCCGGCATGCTTGGATCGATCAAGGGAGTCAAGATGCTTGGCTTGCAGGATTCCCTGATGAAATTCGTGCATGGCCTTCGGGTCAGCGAGTTGGATATCTCCAAGAAGTTCCGTACGCTTCTGGTTTACAACATGGCTTTTGCCTGGTTGACTCGCATTTTTGCCCCGATCTTCACCTTCGGTGTTTATGTCGGCATCTCAAGTGATCCTTTGAGCGTCTCCCGGGCTTTCACATCTCTGTCTCTGTTCTCGCTTCTTGCGGACCCTCTCCTGACCTTAGTTATGGCACTTATGTCTTTCGCTGGCGCCGTTGGATCTTTCCAGCGTATTCAACAGTTCTTGGACAAAGAGGACCACGCTGATCGCCGGAATAACTCCTCGGAGACTTTGTTCCTCGATGATATCGCTGAAAAGCGTGCACTGTCCAAGGCTAAGGACCTTGACCTGTCTTCCATTAACTCAGACTCTGTCGAGTCGCTCAAGCGTTCCAGTGCTCCTCTTTCTTCTTCAAATGCTGTCGTTGTCCAAGGTGGAAGCTTTGGATGGGAAGCCGACAAGGACCCAATTCTCACCGATATTACCAT